CCTCCCGGGCGCGTTTCTCCTTAAAACCCCTATCACATGTCCGAGAGCATGCGGGGCGAATTTTATATCCGCCTGCCTGCCCAGCCTTTTCCTTTTCCATTTTTCTCTGCCGTGTGTGTGTGTGTGTCTCCCTGCTGCCTCGTCACACACCTGCATCTCTACCGTCCTGTTCTCCCCAGACATATATGAAGCACAATGGAAACCTCACACAGCTCAACACAGACAGAGGTTCCTTTAATAGTCAGACTGAGAGGTTTCCAATTCCTCTCATGTATAATGGATGAGGCGAGTCTCTCGCACTATTGTTTGGGAATTTAAATCAGAATCCAGAGTGCTGAATGAAGAAATGGGAGGGCAAAATGAATCTGAGACCTTCTAAGAGAGACCTAATGATTACAGCTAACACCCCCTTTCATTGCAGCCTTGTGCAGTAATCATCGTAGTGTCAGTCTCTAGATATAATCAGAAATGTGTGTGCATACACTCAACCTGTGAAAACACTCTTTCACTCTCAGAGAACGCCACTATACGGCCCTGGAGGTTATATATTTCAGAGGAGATGCAGCAGAGCATCCTTGCAGCTGCATGGCGCTCTATTTTTAGAATGAGTAGTGAAGGAATCTTGAGGGTGTCGCAGCATGTGCAAAGCCTCTCGGTTCCTGTTATGTCGCCACTAAACTGTATCAGAGCCTTACTCACTTTTGTCATCCCCATTAGCAGAGGAGGAGACGAGAGAATTCCGTGAGCATGGAAAAACTTTTTGATTTATGCCTGCAGTGTCAGAAAACAGAATTAGACGGCTGGAAAAAGTCATTTAACGCTGCAACGTTTCAGTTTTACTTAATGAGTTTGGGCCTTTTTGTGAAACATAGTTTTTTTTTTTCTGATTGACAGTTCAGTGTTACAATGCCTTGCACAAGCATTCACACTTTTCGATATTTTGTCATAATCCAAACACTTTAAGGTACTTCATGTAGTACAAACTGCTTTCCTGCCTATAGCCATCACCATGTACAAAAAACATTTTGAAGAATCTTTAATTAATATGAGTTACAACAGCATTTAATTTCCCTTTGGGATCAATAAAGTATTTTTGAATTTGAATTGTTTACAGGTCATTCTTTGATCTTCCACCTGTTGACTGTGTCAATGTAATAAGTGTTAATTGAACATGTCTTATAATGTTCTTTTAACAAGAGCTTAATTCTCGACTGTGGCTTTCTCCAATTTCTCCAGAGTTGCCGTTTCTTTGTTACTCTGATTAATGCTTTTCTTGCTCAACTCGTTGGTTTTGCTACATTGCTGACTCTTAGCAGCTTTGCAGTAAGCAAACTGGCATTGATTGATCGCTTCATTTTTGGATGTTGAGTTTAAAAGGGCTTTGTGATATGTTGAAAGTTTGAGATATTGTTTTTTAACCAAACCCAACTCCACTTTAACCTTTATTTTCTGCAGCTTTCTCATTGACCTGTCTGCTATTTCCCTCTGGTTGTCAGGAAACTATTGGTTCATTTTTCTCTAACAAACGTCTGAGGCCTTAACAGAAGAGATTGATTAATACTGAGATTAAATTTCACTCTGAACAACGAATATATGATCTGGAAAGCAATTAGATTTGTTTAGTGGTTATTAGAGTAAAGGGGCTTCAATATAAATTAAAATTTATATAGCTGTATTGTTTTTTTTAATCAATAGAATCAAGCATTTACAATTAAGAGCTGCTTTCTGTTGGTATATCATGTAAGACTTAATTCATTAAGAGTCATCGATATTAAAAAAAAAAAACTCTTCAGACATGCATACATCGGCTGGCCAACCTTCCCAAAACCTTGGAAATAAGTTTAACTGAATAAGGAACTCTGAAACCCCTGAAAACTTGACCATCAATGTGAATAGGATCTGTTTTTACAGCAACGTTGCTCTTTCTGGGATTCAGTGTGTATGTGTGACCTGTGAACTCACTGGTCTGGACAAGCTTCAATAATTGAAGCCACTGGCAGGCAGCAGGGGAGCTCTTATAGATTATCCTTCAGTGGAAATCTCCAGTACAGGAAGGAGTCTCTGTATTGTCTGTCTATTCTTATGTTTATTGTCAGGAGTAATTATATGACTGCAAATCAAATCATAATGGATTGCTGCTTTCAGCATAAATTTAGTTGAAGTTAAGGACAGGCAGTCTGGTGGCAGAGTTATGGATGGATTGCTCACAAATACACTTGTAAGCGAACAGAAATTACCATAAATATGCTCTTTGGCCTTGTGGAAACCCTTTCCAGAATAGTTGAAGCTGGCATAAGTGCATAGAGTGCACCAACATCCCAGTAAGTCTTATGGGATGAAATGTATTTCATGCATGTGAAGTCAGAGGAGCAAATACTTCTGGCAGTATATACTACATACTGTTATCTGCTTGTGTGACTAATAGTGCTTAGCTAATAGTCACTGATCCCAAAGATCAATAAATCCAACTTAACCAACTTTTAACAAGCAAAAGTTCAAATCAGACATGGCGTCATCCTCATATCTAAGATTGACATTCCGTACAAATCAAGCACAGCAGAAGAATTGTGTTTTATGTTATAATTTTCCCTTAAGTCCACAAGATGACCTGTCAGATTTAAGACTTAGCGTTAGCTAATTACTTTTGTCACCACTGGAACAAATCGAGATGCAGAGGAAGTTGCATCTTTGTTATGCATTTCTAATAAAAAAAAAAATGCAGGCTCGGTTTCATATATTTTTATCTCTTATTTGAAATGTGTTGTGTCGCAAAAGGCACCACCAGCCGACAGAAGCCTTTCGTCGTTCAGCGTAACTTTGCGTAGCTCTACTCATCGTGGTAATATTGATGAACGAGACAAGTTGTTGACCCTTTTCAAATGTATATCCTTAATAATTGTTCAAACATGTGAAAATCTGTTCCTGCTCATAATTAGTAAGTTAGGCCTTAAAAGTGTAACTGGCATTGTGAACATATCAGGTTATGAAAACTATTCAAGCTGCAAATGAATGAGGGATGTTTTGTTATTTAATTTTCTTAGCACAACAGGTATAGCATCTGTATTTTAATAGAGGACAGGGAAGTCAGACTAACACAGTTAATATGCTGTTTCAGTTTGCTTGCCCTTGAGAAACTTTGTGGATATCTAAAAGTAACAGTACAAAAATGTTAAATTATGCAGCTTTAAGCCAAAATTACCAATAAGACAAGACACAGTAAAAGAGTAAAACAGCGAAAAGATACAAAAATTTCAAACCTGCACCTGCAGCCAGTAAGTGTTTGCCCTCAATGTGTCAGAGACACAGTAACTACATTTCCCTCCCATGGGATCGGCCTGGAGGCTACTAAAAGGGAGAAAAATAAAGTTAAGTCTGCAAACGTTGCAGGTTGCAGAAAACCAAAATCTTTGATGAAGATAATTGTTTAATTGTACAAGGAGTCTGGCTTTCAAACCAGCATGTGCTCAGCTTCTGGATGCTACTATCGATTGTCTTACAGCCTCCACATGCCTTCATGTGAAACTCTGTGGAATACATGTGGGTCAATACAAGACAAAAGATGCAAATGCACAGCAATTTCAACAAAAATCTGTGGAAATCGGATTGATCGACTAATGAAAACTGCGGCAGAAACATTTACATTACTTAGTGGCTGTGGAAGAATTACTTGTTGCAGGAGAGATGCAGACATCATCATGTATAAACTATGCTTTAAACACTTTTAAAGGAAAGTCAGTGTGTCTTCATGAGGTATTTTGACTAGCAGAATGCTGTGTACCACTTTTTAAGGCTAAATACAGTGTAAAATTTGGAAGTGCCACATATATATATGTATATATATATATATATATATATATATATATATATATACATATATATATATATATATATATATATATATATAGATATATATAGATATATATATTTTTTTCTCTTTTTTCTCTCTTTTTCTTTTGCTTTTTATAGACGCCGGCTGGAGGTCTTGTCTCTATCCCCAGCGGTCATTGGAGAGAGGCAGGGGACACCTGCACAGATCACCAGTCCATCACTGGGCAACACAGACACACACAGGATAGACAATTTAGAGAGACCAGTTAAGCTATCTGTCACAGTTTTGAACTGTGGGAGGAATCTGAACCAACGCATGCAGGAGGAGAACATGTAAACTCCATGCAGAAAGATCCCAAGGCTGCATTTGAACCCAAGGTTGCTGCAAAGCAACAGGGCTGCCAACTGTGACATCATATAGCCTGTGAAGTCAATAAACAAACTGAGACCATAATTATCCACACTACTTCTCATTCGGTTGAATAAACCACATAAGCTTGGCAGGAGGGTTAGCAAAGTATATATATATACTACACAGTCTATAAAGTTGAACTAAGTAGACTTTTCAATAATATTCTAATTTACTGAATGTGTGTGCGTGTGTGTGTGTGTGTGTGTGCGTGTGCGTGTGTGTGCGTGTGTGTATGCACCTTGATGTTAACAAGGTGCCAAACTGAACTGGTTATGATAGCAGATTAAAAATGCTGTAGTTGTTGAGTTTTAGAGTTCTTGAGTTCTTCCCGTCTATTTTCAGCACATCTCTGAGCATGTGTCTCCACTTTGCTGTCAAGTTTGAGTATTTCTTTCTGACACGTGGACAGTTAGACATGCAAACGCACTTGCCTGTTCTCAGTAAATCCACCAGCGTTAACTGAGGTCACGCTGTGAAATTACATCGAGTAAAAACTGTCCTTCACTCTGTGTCCTGCTGCTGTCTCATTGTCTCGGTTTCAGACTCAGATTGGCTGAAGAGGGAAGATAAAACTGCCATATCTTAATCTGTGGGTGGCACAAGCTTTCAAAGAAGGCAATTAGGATTATATTTTATAGTTCCCTTGCCCTTTTTCTCCATTCTCCTCTTTCCTTTTGTCTTGTCTCCAGCTCATCCGTCCCCTCCAGCCCATGAATTAATTCCTTTGTGTGTGTATGTCGTTGTTTGTGTATCCCCACAGAGCAGCGCGAGCATTTGGAGAGTACCTGTCCCACACGCACCCTGAAAACCGAAACGGATCAGGTCAGCGTCTCTGTCGTCCCGCCATTTGTCCATCCCTCTGTCCTCTGCTGTGTTTTCCTTTGAGGTTTTAATCCTTCCTCCACCTGCTTCACCTCATCCTCTACTGAAATGCCAGGCTGTGCTCACTAGTGTGTCACTACAACCGCTGACAACCACAGGGATGATGATGATGATGTTGCTGTATCTGCTGTGCCATCCTAAGCTTTTTCTTCCTCTACTTCCTCCTCCTCAGCTTGAGTGGTTTTACAATTAGCTTATACTGATATTTCTGTGTTCGTCTCCTTCTTTCACATTGTAGCTCATCTTCTGTGTGAAACCTTGGTGGCTCCGGATCCAGAGTCGCCAAGAGACGCGACTGGACTCAACAACAACAACACTCACCTCCCTCCCTGCTCCTCTGCTAAAGGCTGTACGGACAAACCAGATCCTATCCTGGCAAAGGAAAAGCTGGGCCTAATCCAGCCTGCTCTCCCATCCATCTCAGTTTCTACCAAACCGACTGGTCTCTCGCTTGAACATAGCTTTGCAGCAGAGGAGGACCAGAAGACGTCATTTGAGTGCACCCGTGTGTACACCATCTCCTCCCAGCACGGCATGCTGATGAGCAGTGGCCGGGGCAGCAAAGAGAGCCTAGAACTGGACATCCTGAAGGAGAAGTCCGGGAGCGGTGGGGTGGGGTCTAGAGGTGGCCCAGTCCAGCCCTCCACCTCCCCGTCCTCTGCCTCCTCATCTCCAACCCAGTACATCCGCTCGAGCAGCAGCCGAGGCATCAGCAGTTGTAGCCACACTCACCACTGCAATCACCACCACCACCACGCCCCCGTCTCTGGAATAAACGCCTCCTCTAGCAGCGGCGGCATCAGCGGGGCAAGCTGTAGCGGCAGTCACCAACAGCAGCAGCAAGTGGGTGCAGGATCCCACTCCCATCACACGACCCACCACCACGCCCATCATCACCATCACCTATCCCAGCCCCCGCTGCAGACCTCTGTCAGCGCGCACAACATCCGCAGCCTCGGCGAAGGCGCGAAAGGAGAAGCGGAGTGCAGCGGGCTTGCTTGCGACTCGTGCAGCGGCGCGCCTTCGCGTAGCCAGGGGTCGCTGGACCTGGAAAGTACATCCAGAGAGGCAGGCAAGCAGCACCGACGCCTAGAGCGGATGTGGAGTGTGGACCGGGTGACTGGGCTGGAGAGAGGTGAGAGGGTGGATGACACAGAGGAAGCGAGAGGCGCTGAGATTCAAAAAGGGAAGGGGTTGGCATGTGACCCAGTTTCTCTGGGCTCACTATTATTGGACCAGAGAAGAAATAACATTTGAGCATTTCACTTTCTCTAAAAAAAAATTTAAAAAAATAGCAGTAAGAGCTTTTTTGTTGTTTCTAGGGGTGTAACAAGATCTTGGAGATTTCTCTTGCAAAGCATTTTGCCTGATAAAGTAAGCAAAAGCTGTATTTATTAGGTCCTGTTGTGAAAGTGCGTAACATCCCGGATCCATGATTGAGGCTTTTATTTTGACGTAGAAAAAGCAGTAGCATGGAAAAAGTGTCCATCACTTTAACATTTTAGGTAGTTATTTGAAAAGAAGAAGCATCGAGAGACAAGTACTTTGTAAAACACTGTGATTTTGACTCCTTGTTTGGGCTGAATAGCATGCAGCAGTTGCAAACCCAACATCATGTATTGTTTTGTCTCGTGAGAAGAATGTACCGTTACACCCCTAGTTGTTTTACTTTCTGATGTTGACAGACAAACAGACACACAATCGCATACACTTCAAATGCATTTCTTCTCCGGTCTGCTGGGGACTGAAGGGTTGGTGTTAGATGTGAAGTGGTGGTCTGCATTTCCTGATTCTTCGTCTAACCGTTTCTCCTCTGCTGTCTCTTCCCCTCGTTTCTCCCTCTCTCCATTTGTGGAGTGGTGCACTGTGAGGTGCTGGTGCTGGTTTTGTGCTTTTCTTCTACATTCATTGCGATACTTTCCCCTTGTACAGTGCACAAATTGTTTTCTTTTGTCTGCTAACTTTGGAACTCCAATTTTTCTCTCAAATTGCAGAGGACACCAACTGGTTCCCCAAGGAAAACATGTTCACCTTCCAAACAGCCACAACAACAATACAAGCGTAAGTTTCTCACATCCTAGTCATGTAAACTTAAACTTAGTAAAGTCCAGGACATATCTAGTAAACACACAAAATAAAGATTATTATTATCATCATGTATGAAATTAGACTTGTTTCAAATTTCCCAAGCTTTAAAAAAATTGTCAGTGTCCTGCAGAAAACTTCTTCCAAATCTATTAAATGTTGAGTGATTTTATTGTTAGTTTATAGTAATAATACTGCAACAGTGCATTTTTTAAAGCAGAAATATGGAGCAAATACAAACATTTCACATTTAAATAAAAAAATAAATACATTCAAAATCTACTTTCCGGCATTGCAGTTGATAAATCATAGCTTTAACTTTATTATTCTCCACTTATGTGCCCACACAATAAAACTGAACTACTGCAAATATAAATAGCAGTAGGATTAGATAAGAAATTTGTCCTTCAGGAGCAGGAGTGAGGCTTTATGTAAACTAGTTAAAATACTGAGAAAACTAAGAAGTTCTGCAGGTTAACCTTTAATTAGTACTGAAACCAATAGATTAGCAATTTTGTCGTTGCATCTAGAAAAGTTATATAAATTTTCCCTCCCTTCCTTCCTCCGGTCCTTCTCTTCTGCGTCCAGACTGCAAATTAATCTCGTAAGCTTGAAGGCATTCCTTTACAGTCAGAGAAGGAAGTAAATGTAAAATATTAACTTGTAAATATTGGAAAAAATTAAAGCAAAACAAGAAAAAGTCCAGATAAGCCAAGATAGAAGAACTGCACCACAAATACGTCTGCTAGCATGAGTTTCAGATGGTGCACCAACAACAGGAGTCACTTGAAAATGAAATTGTTATTCAGGTGATCTGTTTATGTCAGAAGTAGGCTAACATTTTTAAATGCATTGTTTGGACTTTCCCCTCTGAGTCTTTGGATCTTGGCTTAGTTGTTCATGATTAAAGTTTAAAATCCTACACGGTTCATCTACTTCACAAATATGCGCCATTTCAATGCTCATAAAAGATAAATTATCAAGTGGAGTTATTAGCAAATAATTTATTCATGGTGACCAAACACTGACATGTTTCACTGTTTTGTTTTCCTCTGTTTTTGCTTTCGGATGTTTTTTTGGAAATAGGATATCGTAAGTATTACTCTCTCTCTGTTTTTCCTTATTGTAAAACTTAACCTTAACTCCTGCTGCTTAACACTGATGTGCACAATTAACATTCATTCATATATTATATCACAGAAAACTAGTTTGTGTCCAGGAAAATTTACTATTGTGTGTACCAATTGAGTACTATAGTGGTTTGTATCTTCCGACTTGCAAACCGTACATAAAATCTTTCTCAAAGCTCTGCCCTATTGATTGACAGCTAATGGATGTCGTGTGAGAACCGTTACAACAAAGTCAAACAGCAGAAAGTTACAGGATTTCATGCAACAAGAGATAAAGTCCAGAATAATCCACTGAAGCCGAGTTGACGTGCCAGGCTGAAGTCTGGAAAATGACTCTGCTGGATGACCTAAGCTCTGCAAACTGTTCACAAGCACACAGGGATGGATAGTTTTACTTGAGCTGTTTAAAATCTTTGTGCCAGTCATGACCCACTTTGCACCCATCCTAATTATTACTGAGTGTGAGCTGGCTGAGTTAAACTGAATTTGAAAACCTGGAAATTGACTGTGAAAGATTTAGTAAGGAGAAATCGTTCCAGTGTGTGCTTGTAAACCATTCAGTTATAGTTTAGTAGAAAGTTAGCTGCCAGTTTCAATAAGTTAAGTATTTCAATAAAGCTGAAAAATAGACAGATAAACAGGATCAAGGCAGGACGAAGCATTAAAATGCAATAGTATCTTCATATAAGCTGCAGTAAAGGCCAGCATTACTACTCCAGCACAACTGCGCAGGAAGTTAGAAAAGCAGTCATAAGAGATTACTTGTTTTGTCTGTGACAACCATTTAGGCAGATTGCTGCTGTCACAAATGTGTCCAACTGTAAGATAAAACTTTTGCCTCCCCTTCATCAGACACCACAACTTATCTCACTAACCCAACTAACATTCACTGCTATCAAACGTAAAAAACTGTTTTATGTGTTGTGTTGGTCCACCACACAAAACCCTATTAGTTTTACACATAATTTTGGGCAATTGTGAGATGAAAACACAATATTGTTGGAATAGAAATTAACAAAGCGAGCCTTGTAGTCCATTTATTCTGTGATGCCATACTGCTTAGGCTTCGCTTTACTGTGAAACAGTTTGGAAATCTAGACCTATGGAAGTGATTATTTTTGCCTTTTTTTCAACTATGACTCTTGCTTTAAAAGTTATGGAGTATGTCATGGAGAAAAAAAAAAAAAAACTTATGATGTTTGAGTTTTTATTTCTACATTTAAACCAAAACATTTAGTATTCTCAAAGCAACCAACTTGTTATTCGAATAAGAAATTAAAACAGCAAGAAATGTTTAAGTTCAAACCTTTTGATACAGATTCTTTCCACTTGTTATAGTAAAACTGATCAAGATTTTTCCTTCTGTGATAGTTTCCAAAATCTCTGTGGGAGAATCATATTTTGCACCACACGCACAGAAAAAAGACAGTTGGCTGTAAGAACATGAACTGTGTTGTACCATCATTTTATTCCTGTTATTTATTATTTTTCTCCAACTGCAAAAAGAAAAAAAACTAGTTGGGATTCATGTGATGGGGACTGCTGGTATCAGTGTTCAGAAATAAGCTCTCAGGGGAACAATGTACAGGTATCTGAGGGCTGTTGTGTGAAAGTAATTGTGGACAAATGTGGCTGTGCATTTTGATGTGAGAGGAGCTTGTTTAATAATGCATAATGCTGGCTTAAAGTAGAAATTTGGAGTTTATTCTAACAATATTAAGTAGTTTAAGCTTCATAAAACTTTATTGCATACATACTGACATACATTTGTGTCCAGCCTCATGTAATCAGCTGCAAGCTAGTTCAGTTTCTAGATTTTCTACATCTAGAAACTGGACATTTTTGTCAAGTTATTTTTTAGAAATAGCCTCTGTGAAAATAGATGTATTTTGTTTTAGGCTTGATTTAGTTTTGCAATTAAATTTAGGTTTGGGTTAGAACAAAAATGTTAGACCTGCAAACAAATTGAGTCCAATGTGACTTTTCATTGAGATTTGTTAAACCCTGTTGAGATCGGTGAGTTCTTCTCACTTTTTATTCTGAGAATTTTAAAGATTTCTGCAAAGGACGCAAACAGCCACAGTTTCCTTTTACTAAATACATCAGCTGTTATCTTTAGTAGGACTGGAATAATTTAGCATCCAGTTTGGTCTCTTGTTGGAGCAATTGTTGGACGGCTTCACACGATCGCTGACAACTATTAACACTGATCAGGGCACACTTTGAAAGCGATGATTTTCACACCTAGTTTTCACTCAATGTCCAGCATTAGCACAGACAATAAACAGTCTGAGTGTCACAACATGGGGTTTCAAGAAAAGCTTTTCTGCTTTTGGATTGCTTGCAAACAGGTTTAAATCTTCAACCAGATTCGGCTATTATCCTTTTCATTTTTAACACGTCAAACTAACACGTCACAATAAAATCATGAAATCAGCTTCTCTAATTCCTGTTGGCTCATGTCCCCTCCCGGCTTGATTATGATAGGTAGAGATTTTGTTTAGAACTGGTTTAAGTGATCCCCTCCGTCTTCTGTTGTCAAAGCTATCTGTAGCCATACCTACAACAGAGTCTCATTCATAGCCAAATGAACCCTGCAGCTAAAAGCCATGGCATCAGCCTCCCTGCACGGCCCTACCCCTCCCTATGCCACCAGGCTCCCTCTCTTATCCCTTTAATACTGTGCCACGTCCTGGCAGGGCTTTCCGGGGATTTGTGCAAAGAAAAAGACGAGAGAGGGAGCAGGATACGGCAGAAGTCATCCTGAGGTATGAAGCGTCCCCTGACTGGGGATGCTATGCAAAGGGGAAGAGTTTTTTTTTTTTTAGAATCTAACCTCGGAATTAGGGTCAAAATCTGACATAAAGGTGCAAGGGTAAACTGCATAAATCTACAATCTCTGGATTTTCTTCTTGCAAATATTTCCAGCTTAAGTTCTATTAAAAATTCATTAGACAAGAAATGAAAATTTTAAAGCCTTTGGAAAAATGGAGGGACGTTCTGTTGCACTTGGAAGGGTACTTGCTTCACCAGCAAGTTCAGAAAGCATCCCACTCAGACCCAGATGCTCTGTCACAAAAGGCCAGATGGTGAATGTGACACCAGGCAGTACATCTCGGTTCCTTTGACATCTCAGTGTCATCCATCTGCAGTGACAGAGTCATTAACGCTGCGAATAACTGTATTTAATCAAAATCAGCAATCGCAGCTTAAAACATGTCTGGGAAAATTGCAAATGTTAGTGCGCAACTTTTAGAAGGACCCGTTGGATGGTATTCACTATATTTTCTTGAAAACAAAAAGTGGAAACAGCGTTTCTCAATGTTTGAAGGAGGAATTTATGAGGCTACCTTAGATCTACCTGTTTGTCTGCAATCTTAATGCTGCATAATGTTAGACAGTCTTAAGATTAGGATATTACTGATAAATCTTATAATGATCATAAATTCACATTTGCTTACAATTGCCTTTTTTATCTTTAGCCCTCTAATATATTTTAGATGTGAGCATAATTGTAGAGAGAGTCCTGTGAATTCTTGACACTTTGAAACACATTAATCAACATGTACTTTGCTAAAAGTGAACCAGTCATTATCTGAAGCCACATTAACTGGATTGGGATCGCTACATGCTCTCCATGACCAACATGACCTGTTTGAAAGTGTCCAAATTGAAGCAAATCTAGAATTCCTCTAGCGTGTAGGCAATCATTACTGTCTTTTTAGAAGCTGCCAAACAAAGTTTTGTTTGGCGTTTATACCAGAGATACGTGCACATTAGGCTTTTTCCCAATCAAATTTTGTGATATTCCCACGTGTTCATGGAAATAAATATAAAACCACTGCTAGTCAGAAATAGATGTGACTGGTGACCGGAAAAAGAAAAACGACTAAAAATGCGGTTAAGCTTTTTGTTAGAGAGCAATGAATCCTTTCGTACAGTAAGGTAAAGTATTTCGGTAACACTTTATTTGAAGGGGGTTGAATAAGACTGACATGACACTGTCATAAACGTGACATAACACCTGTCATGAACATCAATAAGCCTTCATGAATATTTATGACTGTTGTCATAAAACGTCATTCGGTAAATTATGACACTTTTAATACAAAGTTGACATTATTCAAAATGCCGTTGTATGACAACTTGACATTAACCAAGAAATCATTACTGTTTAAACTTTACCTTTAATAACATAAAGTTACCTGATTTTTAAAGTGCAATCAGTAATACTTTTATAACAAATTTATATCAGTAATGATTTCTTGGTTAATGTCAAGTTGTCATAACAAAGACATTTTGAATAATGTCAACTTTGTATTAAAAGTCATAATTTACCGAATGACGCTTTATGACAACAGTCATAAATATTCATGAAGGCTTACTCATGTTCATGACATGTTATGTCATGTTTATGACAGTGTAATGACAGTCTTATTCAAGCCCCTTCAAATAAAGTGTTACCAGTATTTCTAAGTTAACCTAAGATGTTCATATCAAAAACAGACATTTTTGCTACATTTAACTAACCTGTGCACTTTTAAGACATAAACAAAAAACACTTAGTTGTGAGGCAGCAAAAAACTGGCTAACAAGAAGCCAAAAGCTAACTGCCTGTTTGGGACAGATAGTCACACTTATTAGTCTACACAGCAGACAGACATGCTGCTGTTAAGCTAACCCTGCAGGTATGATCTCACCTCTGCCTTTTAAACTAAGGAAGAAAATATTATACCTCATTTTATTTTTATCTAATTTAGCATAGTAAATAATTATGTATTCACAAAACTGATCTCAGAAAAATCTTATTAGCTTGCATTCAATACGAGATTTTATACTCATTATATTTAAAATCTGTTCATCTCTCCAAACAATTAATGCATCCATTCGATGGATGCAATAAATAAATTAAGATTGTTTTGACTATCCCACAAAGCACGCAGTTTAAATGTATCTGTATCCTTTTAGTCCACTTGTTATGAACGTTTGCTGCAAGTTGAATTTCCAGACCACCGGAGGGAAACCAACGACAAAATAAAAAAATAAAAAAAACTGAATAAAAATGTCCGCTCCCCTTTAACGCCCCCCCTCCACGTTTATGTGCTTCCCCACCATCAGATAAACACACTTCCCACTCTCAAACAGCCACATGCCGAGGCCATTAATAATGAGTGTTGGCTGGTTGCTTGGTGCACGAATACTGTGTGTAGAGGCGACATGGGAGGAGCTCAGAAAGATGAAAGCATGTTTATTTGGAGCTTTTTCTTAGAACATTATGTCAAAATCTGGCAGTAAGTGATCGGGCAAAAAACTAATGAATTGATTTTAAAGTTACTAATAGCCACATTAAGAGGTAAATAATTATACAAAATAGCAATGCTATCAAAAAATACATCTGCTTTCATTTGAGAAGCAACACCTTGGATGTTGATAAGAGATGTGGTGTGTGTTAGAGATAATGTTATAATTGATATTAAATGAAAATACATGGGGCTTGTTTTTTAAGATCAAAATGACTCTTTCCTCAAACTAACAGCCATGAAGGTTTTTTTTTCCATCAAGTTCATCTCCAACACTAAAACATCCTGAAATTCCTTCCCATTTGTTACAGTTAACATCAGACAAGAGTAAAATAGAAACTAGCAATGGAAAACCTTATTATTTTATGATCCATGAACTTCAGCTTTATATTTTCCAAATTCACTTTTATGACTGCAGTTGTTTTGCTTATCTCAGTTGATGCTTTGTGAGGAAATATAAAAAAAGCAAGACCTGTCGCTTCAGTTTCCAGCTTTGCAAAATGTGAAAATCATATCTTGATCATAAAACTAAAAAGAGAATTTAATTTCATAAGCCTGACCAGGAAACTTTGGTAGCCTCAACGTGATTAAATAATGTAAAAAAAAAAAAAATAATAAAACCTGGCAACCCTTAATGTCATACAACGCAAATTTCAAATTTTCAACAGAACTGTAACCCATTGAAAGCTATTACCAATAATTCACTGTAATTTTTGCCCCACTGTTGAATAAAATTTACATATATTATTACTATAATTATTATGCCACCATTGTAGAGCAGCCTAGTGCAATTATTTATTTATTTCTGCCTCTTGTGAAAATTTAAAGCTGAAAACTGAGCTGCAGCAGAATGTCCAATCATCACAAGAATACAAAAACACAGAGCGATCATTTGAAAGGTGAGAGTAAATTGTTACAAGCAAAGATCAATCAAAATACTTGCTGTGCTTCTCTGAAAGTAAAGTCCTTCATGCCCAGCAATCACCAGTTGCTGCATAAAGTAATATCAAGGTTGTTTTAGTCCATTATTTGTTGGTTATCACAGCATTTAAAAAACTGTGTAACACAAATGTCGCATGACCACCGTATACAAGTTTATCATTGCAAAGAAATATACATTTATATCTAAAACAAGATTTTAATATTCTTAAGAAGGTTTTATCAACCTTATTCCTGATCCATCATAAGAATTCTGTTGATCATTTTCACATTTGTAGATGAAAGTAAATGAATAAATAAAACTTAGATTTTATGTGGTACACAGGATATTATCATAGCAATCCTGTCAAAGTTTAGCATTTGGGGGGATAAAAATGGTCTCCGACTTCAATTATACAAAAAACAGCAAAGGTAAAATTCTAATTTATTTGTTTTTTTTATCTCATTTATTATGTGCTTTGAATCACTGAGAGCACATTAGATGTGTATTTAGCTGTTTTTTTTTTAAATTTATTGTAGGTTCAAAATGTCTGGGCTGCGAGATATTCGATAAATATGTAATTTCAATATACTGACTGAATATTACAATAGAAAATATAATTTTTATTAAATTTTCCTGAATCTTACTCTCTTTTTATTTGTACAAATTTCTCTGAGCTCTAGCATCTCAGTCACTTAAAATATGCATCAAGCGACGTTATCAAGGACAGCTCGAACCGGCCACTCGTGAGTTGCATGTAAAATATGATATTGGTTGCCATATATTGCAACCATGGAATCACTTGTGATTGCAGTCTTGCAGGAACTGATATAATCATCCCGACTTCAATTTGAAATACTGTGCAGCTCTACCGCAGAAATTCTCAATTTGGGTGTTACACCATTTTTAGGGATAGAGTATGTTGCATGCAAACCATCATAGAGCAAACAAATATGACATTTATATCTGAAGCGCTTTCTACCGGATCGGTTTGTGTTTTTTTAAAAAGGGATATCCTCTACCAAACACACAGCAGCATCAGAATCTAAAAAAACTGGATCTCCCTTTTGCCTTCAGATGTTTCCACAAGAGTAGATGTTACTGACAAAATTATTTATACCGCCCATTTTAATTGACACAGTAATAAGAGAGAATGCTACACCCACTGTGTGCCTGTGAACCCTATTTTCTGCTCACACTGACAACAAAATGTACGCTCTTTGTTTACCTAATAGTCCCTTTTCAACCTTTAGGAAAGTCTCGAGAGTAAACTCTTTTCTTTTCGCTCTGCCCGTCTCTCCCACTCGCCCACCCCTTCCTCTATCTCCTCTTCATGTTGTGGTCCTCCGTCTTCTGCCTTTCCGTTGTCCCTCCTCCGCTACGATTTGGCTACCCACAGGAACTTCCGGAAGCATCTTCGGATGGTGGGAAGCAGGAGGATTAAAGCGCAGAGTGAGTCAGATGTGTGTGTATGTAAGCAGTTGATATGTTTGTTTCATATTGACTGTGATGTTATTCACCCCACCATGATCATTTTCTTTTCTTTTCCGCTAACTGTTACTTTGCATGTGTATACCACCAAGCGTTGCCCGTTTGCCCCACACTTCCAAGGTTTTATATTAGTCAGTGTATCTTAGATGAGGCAAGTCAATGCATGGTTGGAACCGTTTGCATGTAATGTGTGTTCTTCGAATGTCTGGTTGCAAACTGCTAAGTAAATGTCAAACAAAATAATTTCTAACAAGACACCGGTGAGTTAAGCTTGTTTTTTTGTTGTTTTTTTGTTTTTTTACAGCTGCTCATTAGTAAAAAAAAAATTTAATACAAGTATATTATCTGTTGCAATGTATGTATGTATTTTTTATGTTCGAAATAATTGTGGTGTGTTTAAAAAAACTGATTAAACATCCAAATCCAAATAATAGTTATCATTTACATACAACCAAATGCATTTAGGATATAGCACCTTTTATTGAAAGCAAAACATGGAAGAATCATCATCAAAACTTATTATTAGTGAAGACATGATTAAACACATTAGTCAAATAAATTAGGTTTGTAAGAAATTAATCGCAAGTATTTTAATTTCTTAGCAAATACCAATAATTGATTCTATGTCCCAAGTTTTTCAATTCCTATATATTTTGGTTGAGCTCATAAATAGACAGAAAAATTGTTTTTGATGACGTGTCTGTTTCTACCCAGGATTATTGAAAACTGGAATGCTGAGGCTTTGCTTTCATGCAGTGAAATATATCCAATGTGACCAATTGCAGGTACAAACCTGCTTGTCCTTTGGTAAAAAAAATCAGCGGCTTTATACTTTATGCTCTTCTAAATTATGCTACTTTGTCAAAAAAAAAAAAAAAATTAAATGCTTTGATATTTTACCAAACATGTTTTCTGTTATTTAGTTCGATATTCAGAAGTGTTCAAGTCCTCTCTGTCGCTCTTTCAAGTCACTGCATTTTAGTGGAGATGGGATTTTTAAATCATTTAAATCGCCCCTCAGTCACAATGGCAACAAAGTAAAAGTAGAAAAACATTCAGCACTGAAAGCAGGAGGGCAAAGCAATGCTAACACATGTTTAGCTGTTTGTTTCTTCCCCACCTTATCTGGGTGTCTCATTCCATCAGTTTAGATTTAAAATGCTGAAAATTTTGTGACATTTGTTTTCAAAACCTGTCCAACATACTTTTATTCCTCTTTAGCGTTGTGACATTTGCGCACTGATTATTGATCCTTACGCTATAAAAACCTTTCATTTGTGCTGCCTGTAAGTTGAGCAGAGGGTAGGGAGCATTATGTAGCCTGCAGATCATTAGGTGCTGCATTCACTTACACTGGGACATCTGACATTTAGACTAAATGTAAACACTAGACGAGTGGCGGAGGGCTTTACGTTCCACTGCGCAATTAAATGTCTTAATTATTTTAAAGTGTTGTTTTTAATGTAGCAAATGAATCAAAATTAACATATTAAAGTCCCAGTTCTATTTATGATCAGTCCTCAGAAGGTCAGGAATAAAGAATATGAAGCAGATGGATGAAAAAAAAGCAATATCATCAGTTTTTTTGTTTTGTTTTATAAGCTCAAGGCTTTGCTGTGTAAACTGAAAATGGTTGGAAAATTTAGCTTTCCTGTTATTTACTGATCTTATGAACATGACACACCGTATGAATTCGGTACAGTTCATCTGACAAACCTTTGGCGCCTAGACTCAAAAGGAAAATTCTTGCTTTCATCAGTTCATAAAATGTGGATCCATTTGTCTTTAGATCCGTTTGTCTCTAGGAGAAATTGTGGTGTTTTCAAAAATGAAGCTTTTTGGGTGTTTCTTGTTGATAGTTTAGCTTTACTTATGCATTTTTTTTCCCTCTTCAGCACTCTCAGGGAACAGTAGACCTTCACTGATCATCCCAAAGTTGGTCACTGAAGTCTTTTCTGTTTGGCTTTTGTTTGATCTCTTAATATCTGCGTTAAAGCTTTTTAGAACATTTTATCAGAGGAGCTTCTTTTAGATCAAAGTACGCCGTTTTTCTGAACTGTCTGGAACAACCCATTTTACTCATGTTTATTGAGAGAAATACACTATGACCAGCATAGAGCCCACCAGAATGATCTCATTGTTTGAGCTCCACACTGTTACTATTTGGAAGCCATTCAGCCACAGAATCGATGCCACAGATGCGGCAGCATCAAGCCTTGATTGTTGGAATGTTTGTTTTCTATTACTGTACTGCGCCTTGAAGTGAATTATTTGCTGGATCGGGCCTGTTGGGGTTGTTGGACTGCTGATCATATGAACACAGCTCCATGTCAAAGTGGGCGTTTCAGAGGGTGATTGTGATTGCACACAATTTGTGAATTCTTGTTCTATTTTTGTTATTCAACGCTTTATTTGCACTTGATGCAGTGAAATTTGCATTTTGTGGAGTCTGGCCACAGTTTCAAAGCCTAAAATGTAAGATTTATGAAAAGTGGAATGACATTTATTTTTTTCACAGACTCATGGTTAAATGGTATGACATGTAAGGAACAACAATCGAAACAAACCAGCATAAGGGAAATAATAATCGTAGTTTATTCTATATAAACAATAACGTAGAATAGAATCTGTAAATAGCTATGTTAACTCGTCCTGTCTCTATAAATGCATAAAATGCGAACTGATGAACATGTGGTAAATGGATAAACATGCAAACAACAACAAGCAACAGAATGACTGTGTGCTGTTTGCGTGCTCATTTGTTTGTCGGTTTTGTGTGTAAGCAGTGTTTGTGGAGAAGAGTTTGTTGCTCTGTGCGCTTTCTGTATCTGTGCTCTGGTAGCTGCAGCAGTCTTTGCTGTCTCTTGTTTGTTTTTGGCAGTGTGTGTGCTTTGAGGAAAAAGCCATTCTGAGGGCTTCCTGTTGTGTGCGCGAGAGTGGGCGTGAGTGTGTGTGTGTGACTCTCTCTCCTCACCTACACTAGCATTCGCTGAGCGTAGATCGAAGAGTTTCAGCCGTTCCTGGAGTGACCCCACCCCACTCAAGACTGACTCCCCTCATGAGGCTAAAGACAGTGAGTTAACACGGACGGACACATCCACAAGCAAAGACACACCAAGTTAGGCTTGAGCTGCTAGCAGAAAGAAAGCAACATAGGGATTGATGAAATGGTGCCACAAGGAACAATAACTGATAATTAAATCCTATTTAGAAACACAGATTTTGAGGTAATATTTTTGCACATGCAAATACCCACAAAAGTATTATTTAATGTAATCTGTAATAAATATCTTGCTGAATGCAAATTTGATAGTGCTGCAACTAGATATCACATTCTACATGTTTGAGCTGTAACATTTTTCATTTCAAGAAGTGTTCATGCTTTTTGAATCTCTTTAAATTTTGCCACTTAAAAAGCTCAAACTTTGATGTGTTTCTCCAGTATTTTATGTAGCTTATATAAAGTCCAGTTGAAGAAACAAAAAACCAGTTTTAAACTAAAACTAACATACAAAAGACACAATCCAAACAGTGTAGTGTCTATGTACAGTTCTTTACTCTTTGTATAAATCCAGCTATTCTGTGAAGGTCTCAGAGTTTTGTAAGAAATTAGTGGACGAACAGTGAAAAAGACCACGAAACACATCAGAGAGAAAGTTAAGGAGTGGTTTAAAGCAGATTTAGTCCAAGTTTCAACCAGGAGACCCGTGGTAACTCTGGACGAGATTCACATAGAGAATCTGCTGTTATTCTCTACCAATTTTGTACTCTAAACTCTTGTTTTTGTAGAAGATTTGACTGAAAACATTAAAAACCCAGAGAGGACTCACTATTTAACAGCACAGTCTGCTCTATAGATCCTCCGTATAACGAAGTAGCTTTTGGCATCACAGCTCACATCCTGACTAAGACTAACTAACACGGCGAAAAAGAAAAAAAATAACAGAGTCACACATGAATGACACAGTCACACGTACAAACTGACTGTTTCTGCTGTTGATTATGACCCTGTCCATCTGTCTCTCTATGATTGTGGGTCTGTCTTCAACTTTGTGATGCTCTCTCGTTCTGTGAGTATGTCCCCCACGATGGAGTGTGTCCAAGTCCGAGTGTTTCAGCTGGTAGAAATGTTACTGTAAGGACTTGTGTGTCTTTTGTGAATTTGCGGGGCTGTGGAAGTGCGAGTCAGCTCAGACTGTCTGCATGATGTTTGTCTGCACTAATGTTCGGGTTTGTGCTTTGATCCCCCCCTCCCCACCTTCATCAGTGTTTAATCCAAAGAAATGAGTTGATGAAAATATAATGTGGTGGTTTATGTTTCTTGAACCTCTGCTGTGTCTTTGTTGGCCTTAACTCTGATCCTATTTTGTCATCTATGTCCCTCCATTCATGCTATTTTTACTCATCCACCGCAATTTTGCCATGGAATGTGATTTAATGTAGCATAATTACTTGTTTCACAATAATGCATATTGTTCGAAATGACAAAAAAAAGCACTCCAAAATGAAGTACTGAAAACCTGAAACTAAAACCCAAAGAAGACATATAATAAGAGTGGCAAGCACAGCTGATGGCAACAAAGACTGTATAAGAACAACTGAAACCCAAGGATAAGAAAAGATTATAAAAACCTTGAATTAATAAATGAAATGATAGAAAACCAGTTTGATGATTAGAAAGTTGGGACAAGCAGGAGGTCAAGATTAAACTGCTTTTGAATGTAAATTGCATAAATTTAGACAAACTGAATAAAATCAGAAAGACAGAAACACAAAGAAAGGTCAAAATCAAAATCATTAAAAACATGAAACTTAAAAAAAAAAAAACAGCCTTTAGTCGAGCTGCAGTGATTAGGATGTTCCTGTCAGATATGAATATTTGATTGTCTTGAAGATCTGCAGATTAAAATTTTGTTTCTAAAGTCGACAACTGATAGGTGAAGTAAAAGGTGCTGCAGAATGTTTGACAAAAAATAATAGTTATAACCTCAGCAGAAAGTGAAGGGACTGCAATAGTATGTCTAGTGGTGAGGATATATCCATTATCTTTAATTAATTTTTTATATAAGATTTTAGCTGATGTATTTATTGACTGAAAATAATGGGAGTTCTTTGTTTTGATGTATTTAATAAATTGACAGACCAGTCATGTCTGGCATACAGCTTGCTTATATAATTGGCATTGTTTACAGAAAACTCAGTGAGATTTATAAGTTATTCTGTGAAATTTATTTGCAGGTACAGTGCGCATAAACTGTGACTCTACTGAAACACCAGCAGCAGAGATAATCAAACTATTGGCATTAAAGTATGTCTTAACAAAAGTATGAATATGATGACTTTCCTGTGCATAAGTACAACTGGTGTAATGGAGAACTATTTTAAATCCAAAACAAAATAAAATGTTAGTTGTTTGAAATGGAGAACAGAAACTTAGGATATTAAAAACTTTGAATTATTTAGAATCATAAGGTTTGATATCAATATTTTGTTTAATAATTCAAATGCTACTGGGGGCCCCATGCTGGGGGACCAAAGCATCGTCTTGGTTTGTTTATGCCCTGGGCCGGCTCTGGTGCCACAGGATATCTGAGCTGTTCTCTCCAAATATGACAGTATGACAAGATCAAAGCTTTCAAAACACAAATGTGAGCTCCACTCTGAAATAACTAATAATTTGTGCTGCATGCTCCAGTGCAACACAGATTTCTGCTGTTAAAATGTCAAACTGCTCCCCAGCGAGTAAAAGGTAACCAGTCAATGTGGAAACCGACCGATGTCAAAAATCCAAGACACGTCTCAGAATCACAGCATGCGTTCGAAACTACTTTCTCCCAGCAGAGGCATTGAACTTTACACCTGTTCAGCATGAAACAGGTGCACTGTCACAGCTGACAACACTGCGGCTTTCAGTTTGTGAAATATAGGCCCATTATCTGTCTATTTTATTCTGTACTCCACAGTTTGTAAAGGTCCTAAGAGAGCAACCTGTTTAAGGAGACTTTCATCACACCACTCCCCCACTTACTTTCAAAGAAAACGTCTCTCAAGATCATTGAATGGACAGAAATTACCCTCAGAAGCCCTTAAATAAGGCCTGCAGCTCTAATCACATTGAAAGTCATGCAGTGAAATAACCTTTTATTTAAAATAAATCAAAAATGTTCCAGCCTGGGTGAATTCACAAGTAAATCTGACACTTTATGATATCTGAGAAAAGGTTTTATGTTTCACAGTATCAGTGGCTTAAAACAACATAGCATCAACTAAAGTATAAACACAGAATTTGAGTGTAAGGTATGAAATCTTTTGCTTCTTTAACTAACATACCACTCATAAGAGCACCATCATTTTTTCTACTATCTGAAAATATTCCCAGAGAAATTTTTCTCCCTTTGTAAGCATGAGATGTGTTAGAGTCATCGTTCATCCAGCTCACTGGCAGTGTGCAGCAAAGAAAATGTTACCCTCTAAACAGCGTGAGAAAAGCCTCCAGTATTTTGTCTGGAGTTTGATTTAAAGGACTTTGAAACCAAAATACTTTTGGAACTTGTAAACATTTGTATAAATTGATACCAGTAATTGGCTCATGATGCGTTTCATTTATTTTTTCTTGGGCTGGCTCCAATTCTCCATCATAACATTCATTTACAGCATCTAGAAAATATTTTATAAACTTTCATGCATGATTGAGTTATTCTTTATGTACTACAAGTAGCATAAACAGGACTCTTAAATACAGGCAGTTAAATTATCAGCTTTATCAGTTCAGAAGCGTTTTCCTGGTTGGTAGTAGCCAAACTCAGTGTTTGGTTCCCTTCCTGTCGTTTTCTCTCATTTATGTCATCATTATGAGATTCATCCTCTCACCTCATCCTTTCTCTCTGATCTGGTCTCGACTCCCTAACTATCTCTCTGCCACATCGCTGGCCTCCCACTGCTCTTCCAGCATCTCCACGTGCTTCCTGTTGCCTCAGGTCTTGATCTTGATGCTCTGCCCTGTGCCTTGTTGTCTTCCAGGTGGAGACCTGCAGGCCTCCACTAACGCCCTGGAGGACGGAGCCCTTGATGATGCTCTAGACTGGGAGGAGGAGAAAGAGATGGAGAGGCTGGCCTGTGAAGGAGATGACTTTGTTCCTCCCAAAATTATGGTATTATTACAGTATTCGGCTGATTTTGTCTGGAAGAAGAGAGAGCAAAATCTCTTTAACATAATAATGGAGCTGCATTGAGATGATAATGAACTCATGAGTAAAGGATAAAGAACTAAATGTAGAAAGCCATGTATTGTCCCTCATTACTGGCTTTTCTTGGGTCTTTCTTATTCTTCCAATCCAAACAATCAGAGGTTATAACTGATCGACAGGCTGTTAAAAAGAAAACAAACCAACTGGATGGAAAGGAAAAGTCATCCATATAAGACGTAATCCAAACCAAACACCAAACATACCACAAACCAACAAAAGAGCTGACTCATAATACAAATTCAATCTATGCTATCATCAGAGACAGTTGGAGAACTAAACTCTGTGGTCTTGCTTTGGTGTGCCAGCTAAAAGTCAAACAGGACTTCTGATATGTGACTCTTCAGCTTTAGTGCCATCATGAAGTCAATTGCAATAGTCCAGTCAAGATAAAATAAAACCATGTATGACTTGTTTTAAGAGGACTTTTAAAAAATCTTCACCTCTGTGCTCATTCTTAAATTCAAAATGTTAGCCCTAAGTAGAGCTTAGATCTTTATTTTTAAGTTAAAAAAAACAAACAAACTCCAAAATAACACCAGTGTGCGTTTTCGCTTCTATATCAGGTCCTGTACATTGCCCATGTCTTCTTAAAACTGCATTATTAATGAGTCGATAGTTATTGGTTAAAACGGGCTGATGTAGAGGGCTGCCAGGGTGTTTTTTTTCTAGTCATGACAACTAGGATGAATGAAGCCTTTGAATTGTGAATGTCATTTAAATAACTTGACTAATTAGTCCTCTGTGTCCTCTCTGCTCCATCTTCAGCTGATCTCTTCCAAGGTTCCAAAAGCAGAATACATTCCCACCATAATCCGCAGGGATGATCCGTCCATCATCCCCATCCTCTATGTGAGTCCAACACACTGAAGACTAATATGTTTTGTACGCTGAAAAACAGAAAGGTCATTCAGCCTGTAATCATCATTTACGTTTCTTTTTTCCATTAATACAGGTATTCAGTGCTAAATTGTGTTTCTTTTCACAGGATCATGAACATGCAACTTTTGATGACATTTTGGGTGAGTTATTTGCCTACTGTTTGCTTAACATACAACAAAAATGTAAAAAGTCATAGTAAGCTGTCAGCATCTGTGTAAATAATTGTTTAAAAATTGTGCTAAGTTAACTTTAAAACAACCCAAATTACTTTAAATGTAATTAATGCTTCAGCAAAAATACCAATGCAACTGCAAAACTGTATTTTCATGCAAAACTTGGAATTTGCAGTGTTTTCCTACACAGTAAGTGTAAAACATATACACATCCATGTAATAATGTCAGGTTGTGTGCTGTCAAAAAATTAGACCATCATAGATCCTTTTACAGAAATTTTCCATCTATAGTATGACGTACAATTTATGTACATTCACCGGTACTTTGTTCAACCACTTGATGATTTATTTTAAGAATTTGGTCTTGCCACGCACATGCATTAGCTTTATGCACCCTGATTCAGCTGAAATTAGATTCTACTGCTCTCTAATAGATTTTTACTTGACATTTGGCCTTTTTAATTCTTTCACTAAAGCCAAATTTATCAGTGAGGAGAAAGATATAAAAAAAATCAAACAACCTTTTATACGTAAACCTAGCACAAAAAGTAAGGAACTTCTGTTTAGTTAATTATTTCTTTATTGTATCTGCGCTTCTGGGCAAGTCTGTGTAATTTCTTTAATTTTAATTTTCAAGGAAAATTAATTTGCAGCTTGAGCTGTGGTGTTTCGTGGCCCCAACAAACATGTTCTGTGCAGAGTTTTCATACAAATGAGGCATAATTTCATGAGCAGACTTTACACTTTTAGAAAATTTATTTTAAAGCTGAAGCTCAATATGAATTTCATTTTTTGTGACTTCTCTGAGTGCAAATATACAGGATGAGCCACCTTTAGGTTTTAATCTCAGCTGAGCAGCAGAACAGTCCAAACTGACTCCTGTTGCAGAGCGAGAATCAGAAGTCAAGCAAATGGCTTGGGGAGAAACCCGACATGCAATTAAATCTCCGAATTATAGCTTAGATTTGGCTCATAATGCGTGTTTAAATCCAGTTTAATCCTTCCAATCGACTTACCTGCTGTTATTTAAAATTACCGTCTGCATTTGTAAAGTATTGCTCATAATAAAAACATTTAACGCAAAAGTTCCCCTGAGATTTCAGCATCTCTACGTGAAATAAAGCTCACACAGAACATTTTAAAAGATCATTTCAAATCTGTATTTAAATGTTCAGATTACAGAATTACATCTGGATCTCATCCATGAATCAAGGGCTTCTAAATATCATGCTATTACACATTTACATGCTTCTGTCTCGAAGTGTGGTCTGTTCATCTTTTTCATTTTATCCCACTTTATTTCTGGCTAACAGAGGAAATAGACAAGAAGCTCACAGCTTACAGGAGAGGAAGTAAATTCTGGAGGATGCTTATCTTCTGTCAGGTGAGATGGAAGATTTCATATTTTAGTTTTATTGTAACCTCTTGATCTTTAATTCTTTTTCTCCTTTTTTTAAATGTGGGCTAATATTTGTTTAACAGGGAGGCCCTGGTCATCTGTATCTACTGAAGAACAAGGTGGCAACCTTTGCTAAAGTGGAAAAAGAAGAAGATATGAGCCAGTAGGAGGCTTTTTATTTATTTATTTATTTTTTTTTTTTACTTTTTTGTCCTGTCACAAATTGCATTTATCTTTAATGTCTTTGAAGATTCAGACATGTGAAGAAACATGACTGGGAGTGTTGGTAGTTTTCATCTGAAACAAAAATATATGTGGTGTTTTATTTCTCAGCTCTTGAACTTAAAAGTTTATCAAAGCTTCTCCCCAGGATGTCTTGGTACTATCTTGGGAAAAATATCAGTAACAATTGATGAAATATTTATAGCTTCACATAGCTTATTTGGTCTTAATTATGCTGTTGTTATTATTTGACAGGAGCACTGGTTCACTTAGTTCTTGTCTTTATTGCCCTGGAAATGTTTTCACAAAAATCTCATACAGATTTTATTTTCTGTGTTTTTTTGTTTTTTTTGTTTTTTTTTGTTTTTGTCAGATTTTGGAGAAGATTGAGTCGCTTTATGAGTAAAGTCAACCCTGAGCCAAATGTGATCCACATAATGGGATGCTACGTTCTGGGAAACCCCAATGGAGAAAAGGTATTCCGACACCTTACATAATATAATATTAAAAAAAAAAAAAAAAACAGAAGTTTGTTTTAAGAAACCAATTTCTTAAAATGTATTTATTTTTATTTTTTGAAGTATTGGTTCCACTGACAGATTATTTCACTTACAACATCTTAAGTTAGTTTTGTCTCATGTCCAGTGCCCTAGGGTATTTGCACTAAAAATAGACCAAAAATACTTGGAAAGCTGTTATTTTTGCAGCATAAAATGTATACCTTGCACTTGATCGTTAATATTTCTTAAGAGTATATTAGTTAATAAAATCCCTACATGAGATGCAAGCTTCACCAAAGGCTAAAAGGTTCCCTTTAAACCAGTGAGCTCTGTCTTTCTCCACTCATAATTGTTTTCTCATATTCCTAAGTGATTATGCGGAGTGTATTTGAGTGGCACATACACATACCAAGTGATGCTACACCTCTCTGTACCTGATCTGAACAGCTATTAAGACACACAAACATGCCAAAATAAAGGATAAACAATGGCTTTGCAGACACAAGCTGGCAAACATATAAGCAGCAACAGACCATCGCCAGCGGTGTTTGTCTGACCCATCTGTCTGTTCCCGTCATGTCTGCCAAACAATGCTTTGTTATATAAAGTGCTTCTCTCTGGGGTTGATGGACAGTCTGCAGAACAGACTACACATCAGGGATTTCTGCACCTAGACAGACAAACACAGCTACAAGCTTTTTGTTTTTTAGGATCATATGAAGCGAAAGTGAAAAAAAAAAAAAAACAGGTGTAAGATTGCTCTTTTTTATGTATATACATAGGGACTTAAGTTCATGATTCTGGTTGGAATACCTGTAAACATGCACTGTAGTTTCCTTAAACGCCTCAAAAAGACATTCCCTATTTTCTATTTACATTTTCTCCAGAGAATATTAATTTATTTTTTAGGATTTCAAAAAGAAAATAACGTGTGTTATACTGTGCAGGTTTGAAAATGATATAGAATTTAACGTCATGACCTCCCATTGCACCTGTGTGACATAAATTTCATCATTTGTACCAGTTTACAAGAGATCCTCTGAGTCCCTTTGAAATCAGCCACACGCGCAGCCAGGATTTTCTGAGTTAAGAGACTGAGTGTGTGGCAACAGCAGACTCACAGAGAGAAAACTCCTGTCAAAAAGTTATGCCTGAGACATCACAATCACAAACTAACTTGAATAGATATAGTGTGATGAGATATGTTGTCATTCCTATTTGTAACATTAATCGTTCTGTATCTACAGGGACAAAAAGGTATTGAGAAATTATGGTTTTCCAAACGTGTCATAAATGTTTGTGTGTGCTGGATGTGCTCACTTAACATATGAGTTAGCATTTGTGTTTGATCAGTATCACCTTGATTTTATGTGGTGATGTTATTGGCTCGTGTTGTTTTGATTTTAGCTACAATAGAATTATTTAGACTAAAGCTTATCTTTGTATTACAGTGGCCCAGTCAAAGTCCAGACCGAAATCTAATTAGGAATCTGTTGCAACTCGCAACACTTGAAAATCGCTCTAGATAGACTTCATCCAATCTAACTGAGGTTAAGCTATTTTCAAAGGAAAGTTGGGCAAAAATGCTAGTTACTAGATTGGTAAAGTTGGTAGAGAAAACCAACTTATGCATAACATTTTTTGTCANTTTCNTACTGAGAAGTCGGACACAGTGGTTTCGCTCCAATGCTGTACTTTCTTATAAGCAGCGCTCCCTAGTGTTCATAGTGTGTAGTGTGGTGTTCTCCGCTAACAGGATGTGTAGTGTTGTGATATCTATTTCCTGTAGAAAAAAACAGATATAAAAATAAATCACACAGTCTACAGTACATTCCATGCCAGCGTTAGCATTGCAGTACAGCTAGCTTTTACTGGACATTTGAAAAGTAAGAACACAACCAAAAGAGACATTGCTTCAAACGCTGGGCGGTTATCTCCCATTCATTATTTTTGCCACATTATATTTTCAGGTCCTTAGCTATCTGAGTTTAGGAATTTACAGTGTCGCATTTAAAGAGAATGGCAAGACTTAAAAAAAAAAATCTAAAGTAGTGATTTGTTCTTGTTGTAAACAGAAGTATAGTAAGAATTTGTCACCTACAGTTTCTCCACAGAAAAATTGTTTCTACATGTATTTATATATTGTAATACCTTTTATAACATAGAGTTGTCCTTAAAAGAGGTGGTAATATGAAAGCCAGGAGTAAAGACCAACAGCCTTGCATATTTTGTCTTTTTTGTCACCTGCACAGAAACAGTTTTGTCTGTGAGACAGTAACGAGCTGAATTTATGGGTTTCTGCTTGGTGTGTGTCACTGAACACGCCGGCTCCCTTGTTACAAGAGAGGCCGGATTAATTGCCGCTCGCTTTCTTATCTGTGCCCAACAGCTGTTCCAGAAACTGAAGAATCTGATGAGGCCATATTCTGTTGAGTTTGAATCACCGCTGGAGCTGTCTGCACAAGGTAGGCCCAGGAACACACCCTACATCCAACACTTACAGTATGATTCACACACATGCCATCTGTCCAGCACTGACAGATAAGGAGGAGGATTTATAAAACAGATGTTCTCCTTTTATTTACAGTGTTTTCATTTCAAATCAAATCAAGTCTTAATGAATAACGATTCCCTCTTTACTCTGCATGCTTCTCTTTCCTTTAGATGTGATGCAGAAAAGGTCCATGTTCTATTAAAAATATACTTTTCATTCATCAACCGTGATAATACCTTGAACAGGAATAATTTTTAAAAAGTTAAATAAACATTTTGGCAAAAGTATAATTTAATTTTAATCTCTAGCCAGCCCATGAAGACCTTACTTGAATAGAGTAGCCAATCTTGAGAGGAAAAAAATTACAGAAAAAATAAAAATAAAAATCCACAAAATGGCTGTCTATCAAATGTGTATCTCCAGCTAAAAAAAAAAAAAAAAAAGAGACTATCGCAGATTTTTATGGACATCTTGACAAATTGCAAAACAACGGCAACATACAATCTCTGACGTTCCGTCTTCACTGATGAAGATTCACTTACCTCAGCATGCCAAACACTAACGTATCAAAAAAGGAAAAAATAATGGCTGACATTGCATTTGGAGGTGAAAGAGGAAAGCTGGCATAATTTTACAGCTGGGAAGTAAAATTGTGGCAGCATCATGTTATGTTGGTGTTTTAAAGTAATCCAGATCATAAACTCAAAAACTATGTAAGCATTTTGTTTTTTTCTAAAAATAAATAAATGTAATTAACTTTTTTTTTTTATCTTCTCGTCATTTATCATTAAAGGCAAAGAAATGATCGAGATGTACTTCGATTTTCGCCTTTACCGCCTTTGGAAGACGCGCCAACACTCGAAACTCTTGGACTACGAGGACCTTTTGTGACAAAGACATGCTGACAAACAGTGCAGCAGTAGCCCAGCAGTGCCAAGAGGACACTGTTAAAACTGACGATCCGGTGGGAGAACATATCTTAATTGTCAGGTTGGGGCCGACAGCTTAAAAAAATAATAATAAAAGGTCGTACCTGCTTTAATGGTGGTGAAGGCTGGAAGTGGAGGAAAAAGCAGCAGCAGGACAATGTAGAACGACGGAGGAAATGTGGGAAAAAAATGAGGATAAACCCCAACGAAGCTGAACTATCCATATCAAACCTGTCAAATCTTTTTTTTTTTCTTCATCACTTGAGTTTCAAAAATATAAACTGATGATTAAAAGTGTATACATATACAGTTTTTGTCACACTGTTGTTGCAATGCCATGGCTTTCTGGGGGGGCAATGTGCTTCAGATGAATTGCTGTAACTCATCCTGTCTCAATGTGGTTCTGTGTTTTGACCTCTCAGACTGGCCCCTGAGACATACATATACATCAGTAATGTTAAAGTGTGTATAGTTCACATTGATATATTAGTATAGCCTTAGTCATGCAAATAATACTCTATATTGGATCATCGTTTATTTTTGAAGTGCATTGTCGTGCAATTTCATATGGAGATACTTTGAAATAACTCAGGTTTTTGCCATGAATTTAATGAATCTGTCTATTCTATGATCACATTATAATATTCAACGCCATTGCTTTGAATGAATGTATTATCTCTCTAGAGATTTGTGGGAATATGAATGTTTTGTGAGGAGAAAAAAAAAGTTTCGAGTGTGTTTTCCATTTAAAGTAAGTGTGCATTTTCCTCTTAAATCTCCTTTAAGCAAAAAGAATAATTGCCAGCATTGCCATAAATATCCCTTTGTCATGTCTATTCAAAAAGGATGACAGTCCAGCGTGACTCATGATGTCAAAGGATGTAACAGCCATCCAAGGGCTCCTACAACTGAAGAGGAGTTTCCCTGATGATCAAACCATGTTCTTTTGCAGCGGGATCAGTCCTAACAATAGAACCAACTCCTTTTTTTTTCTGCTAAAAATACTCTTGCTGCTCTTAGTAAGAGCCAAACGAGCCTCCAGCACCTCCAACTCTAAGGACCAGAGTTTTCTGTCTACCAGAGTACGAAGCTGTGAGCAGACATAAGACTTCACCGACGGGTGTCAACTTATTTAAAAGGACCAGAAATGCGCACTCTGAGACAAGTCGAACAATCCCAGCTGTTTCAGACAGACCAAGAATGATGTCACCCACACAGACGCAATCGCACATGCTAGGGCATAGACCAAAATACGTTTAGAGACAAAGTTAGAAGGGCACAGGTACCACAGCCTATTTATAATTCAGTTGGTGTGCTTGTCATGAGCACAACTGCGAATGGAAACATGGTTCTGATATCTGCTGTGGCTCAGGGGGAAGATTTCTGAGGGAAATAACACAGATGTCATCTCAGCAACGGCTTTAGACTTCAATTTCACTTGGATTTGTTTGTGACAACACCGGTTGAGTGGACGTGTGTGAGAGCTTATCAGCAGTATGTAAAGAATGAAAATGCTGCCGCGTTCCAGAGCAGAAAGCGGTAAATTAGGAGTTAAACCAATTAAAAAGGCACATACACCTGACACCTAAAATTGTAGATGCTGGAGCTGTATCACCCAACACAATATAAAGGAAGCTGACCTTTTATTAGTGAGTGGAAATTATAAGAATTTAATTCTTATCTTTGAGATATATTTTTTATTTTTTGGCACCACTGGCAGAAATCCTTTAAACAAATTCAGCTTTTATTGCAGTTGCAAAATCTTTAGAAACTTTTCAGTGTGAGAACATTATTCAACGGCTGGGTGAGGATGGCGGGGGGCATTTGGGATTAATAATAAACTCCTATAGCATTTCATATTATTGAAGCAAATAGTGAGGGGAATCTTAATGGAAGATGGTCCAGGTCTACGTTGGTAAAGGTGATAATTTCTTTTTTTTTTTTTTCCCTTTTTTCCCCATCTAGAAGTTTGTTGCCAATTATTATTTCTGTTCTTTTTTATTTTTTTCACAACCTGGATAAACGTGATCAAATTCAGTACTGGAGCTTTTTTTGTTTTGTTGTTGTTGTTCCCCCCCCCCCCTCCAACTTAAAGATTATGTTGCTGCAATAAAAATGGATTTATTTTAAGGCTTTTTATACGTCTTCAACAGGTGAACCAGTAACTTTTGCAAATGCTGCTTTTAATTTCAAAGGAAATGTTAGTTTTAGATTGAAAATATGAAAAACTTTCTATAAGAGCTTTGAATAAAGCTTCAGGCTATGGGGCAAATCCTTATAACCCTATGAATCTTTTAATTTTTTTTTTTTATCTTTTTTTTATCTACATTGCAGTCTAGTAGACTGCAATGTAGAAATATGATAATCTTGTATTTTGGTTAACAAAAAACAAACAAATCAAATCCCGGAAGTGACCATCAGCTGCCTTGATTTTTAAAAGTAGGGTCTTGGGTATTATTCACAAAACCAAATTGGGATTCTGCCTTTTTTGGCTTTGCTTGCTAGGTCAGAGGGAACGTTTACTGAGAAAATGTTTTAAAACAAGTCAAGATGTTTAAAAGTCCATGGTGCAAAACTCATCCAATCACAGCAGTTCCACAACAAACCACCAAGATCTGTTATGCTGCAAAGAGCAAGAGAGTAAAATTTAAATAGTCAAGTGTTTGCAGACAAGAAGTGGGTGGAGAAAGTGTGTAGGGGTTAAGTGGTCACAGCTTTGATTAACACACACAAGACAATGCTGTAGATATTTCCGTTATAATTCTTTCCTACTTCTTCTGTTGTCATTATATGAGGATTTGTTTAAGTTTGATGTGATGAACCTTTTTTCGAGGAGAAAAAAAACAAACTCTAAACGATCTTTTTCTTATTATTTCTGATGTATTTGCTGTGTCTGACATTGCAGTCCTAGCCTGTTTCTCTGGAATAGCCAAGTGCTCTCGTCTCTTCTCTTCTTTCTCTCTCAGCCTGAGTCACGCAATATGTTTTCACTACAGATTTAAAATTCAGCAGTTACACAACCTGTCATCTCACAGAGCCATTTTAATTCCAGCAAAAGCACTGTGCTGCCAAATTCTCCAAGAAGTCGCCCTAAACAGCTGCTGGGTTTTAATGGGATTATTTTTCAGAGCTTTCACCAGGCATAATTTTCCGCTTCAGAAACACGGCAGCCACGGGTTATTTCAGTCAAAAAAAAAAAAAAAAAGTGCCACAGGATAAAAATAATCTATTATCTGTTCTGAGGAAAAATCTCTTACTCATTTAGGATTCTGTTAAATTTATTTGGGAGGATAAGGTGAGGGGCATCGTGACTCAGGAGATTTAGAGAGATTACTTTTTGTTTCTATCATTAGCAAGAAAAAAAAAGAAGAAGGAGATTCACTGGAAATCTAATTAAAGATTCTTATGAGTTTATTGTCCTCTTGTTTGCTTTATTTTTTTTTTTTTTTTATTGTTCACAGAGAGCCATCCACACTTTCTGGCACCCTTGGTGAAGGTGTGTAAAAAGCATCAACACAAATTCTTCTTTATTTAAAAGAAATTAGACAAACAACCTTTAACTTATTCACTGGGGAGAAAAACAAGCACGTAAAGAAAGAAAGCTTTTTTTTTTAAAAAAAAAAAAAGTGCCACAATTATTTACACCCCTAGACAGACATGAGAATAAGTTCTGTGTTTTCCTTTTAAATGACCTCTAAATATTAATCCATAACTCATTCTTCAACAGTTAAATAAGCTATTATCAATTGTGTGTTATAGGAAAATAGCTATCTACCTAAATTTGTCCATATGTTCAGCCTGAGCAATACATGTCTTAAAAAAACAAGAACTTCCACCAAAAATAAGGGCTGGATGAATATCCATGTTTGCTTTGCCGTGAGGTGCAATGATGATTGATGACGGACGGAAAAAGAAAATATGCCTTTCATAATTACCTGGGTTCATTTGTGGTCACTTAGTCTCCATGACAACCACCGGAGTCTACATGCCAACTGGTTGTATGGGGTAATGTCACAAAAATACCCTTTTGAGTTCCAGTCATCATGAGGTAATTGAAATACCAGGAGATTTTAGATAAAAATATGAGTTTCAAGAGTCATGTATTCTCATTAAACATAAAAAAAAGATTAGGTACAATATAATGGACAGCTGATTGTCATCAATTCCCAGCACCACACAATTAGTAGCACAATTATTTATCAGAGTGTGATATTTCCCCTTTTTTTTTTTTTTTTTACTTTTAATTCAATTTTGTCAGCGGTGCCTAGAAGTCAAAGAGGTCAAAGAGCAAAGCAAAAAGTGAAAACAAAAGAGAAATCAACTATATTTGCAGCCCTTTAATTTTAGCAACTAGCTTCAAATAATATGCAAATCTAAAAGACTGACTTACGGAGAAATCATGTTTTAAACAAGGTTTTATAGAAGCTGTAGGCAACACAGCTATCCTTCTCCTAACACTATTGTCTACTTTGCAAACTAAAAGGGGAAAATGCTCCTGGACCTGCATAAAAGAGAAGTATATTAACTTCAGCAATGTGTACATGCACACATTGAAGAGTTTAGAAATAGAGGTTTATAATACAGAGCACTCAGACAAACTACAAGTGTGTTTGATTTATGAAAAAGTTACAGGAGTGGAGACAGGTTCGAAAGGCAAGTCTGATATAAAGAAAAAAAAAAAAAAAGGAAAAACAATGGAGAGAATTAGTGTTTATGTCAGTTTTGGATTCTGCATCGACAGAAAGTGAAGTTTCACTGGAACTTGAACAAAAAAAATAACACCTAAACAAGATTTTAAGTTCTACTTGCATTTTTACAGGATGATGATTGAGGTTTTTGTTTACTACTTCATTTTTTCCCTCCCCATTTTTCTTCCCCCACCCTCCCAACCTTCCAACTGGAAAACAATTAGGCGAGTCAGGAGAGTAAAAGGTCTGATTCTGTTACTATCAGCGTTTCTCAGCTGCTGATGTGCAGTTTCCAGCTTCCTCATGTGCCCCAGCGGGGGGAAATTTACGCACAGCGCAGCTCAGAACCTGAAGCTGTCTCTGTACTGGTTTTGAACAGAACCCTTATATGGCGAACATTAGCACACATTGTGCTGTAGTCAGCAAAAGACGACAGGTGTCAGCCACACAAATTGTTTAAATGGTGCTTAAGCTCAGCCTTTTTAAGAGGTTCCCGTTTTTCTATGTCAGCCTGTGAGATATGAACTCCGATCAGGCATAACATTAAGACCACACACCTAACAGTGTGCTTGGTTATCGTCCTTGCAGCCAAAACAGCCCTAACCCATCCAGGCATGGAGTCCACTAGGTGCCTGAGGCCGTCATCCCTGAACTCTTTCTGCCTTATAGCAAAGAGTATTATCCGACTGAAGGCCATCAATGAATATTACTGCATTTATTTATTTAATATAAATTGTTACATAAACCCCAATACAAGTAGGGCAGTTTTTCTTTATCATCCCATTCAGCACAAAGTATAAGCGTGATGTAACTGGCCTGATAAGAAATCCGCATTAAGGAAAGGATATAGAGATTCTCATCTCACAACTTTTGTCTCTCCGTAGACTCTCCTGTTGGAAGCTTTAAACTCGACCTTCTAAATTCTTAGCCTGTGGATTTTAAATCAACGTGATAAAAATATGACTTTTTTTTTTTATACTTGAAAGTCAAGTATTCAAGTCTCTGAGCTCTTTAGATCAAGACGTATTGCTAATTTCCATTTACACCCGGATGTCATAATTTCTCGTCTTCCGCAAAATTCAGAATTGCTCCCACACACTTGTAAGTCAGCAATAGCTGCAGGTAGATGCAAATGTGAACGGGTAGAAAATGGCTAATACTTTTCTTATACAGCTTGTTAAAAGATGTTGGCCAGGCAACTGAGCACAACAATACGCAAATCCTGAAGGTTTTTTGAAATTGTGGCTGGAAGTGGGGTGTGAGGTCATTCCTTTATACGAGTTTAGATTTCCAAGGCGTTAGAATTAAAATCCTAAAAATCTGTTGAGGAAGAGGAAATTTATATTTACAGAGAAACTAAATGTGTCAGTGTGAAGCAGAACAACAGCTGGAAACGGAACGGAGTTTATCACAGAGGAATCCAAGAGCTGCTTTGAATGTTTTGGTCTTTTAAAAGCATCCATTATAAAAAAGAACCTTATGTTATTCCTTATGTCATGCTTTAAAAGGTTAAAATCACACTGGCTTTACTTTGAGCTACCTTGTTTTGTACAGCAAGAGGTCTGGAAAGTGGCCAGTTTGGACTCTGTGACCTCGCCGCCTCCTGTTTGAATGTTAGCGAGCTCTGCCAGGGATGAGATGGAAATCTCCTGGAATGAGGCGTTTGTGTCTGCCGAATGTTCCCAGGATCACATTTCTGGCATTTCGGCCACTTGATGCAAGCTTCCGTTGACAAAAGCAACAAATCGCGTCACGGTAACATTTAAATTTAAACATCTTAAACATGAAAGCTTTAATGTGTGTCAGCTGTAAACAAAACTTTAAAGATTAAACCATCAGCTCATTTTCAGAATAAACAGGGTTTTGGAGATATAATTTCACTTCTCTTTTTTTGTTTGAAACAGACATTTAAGAGTTAGTCTTCCATGTTCAGAAATATAGTAAACAGCGCACACGTGTGGCCAACTACAGGAACTGTGAGCCTACGGTGGGATTATTGAAGCAAAAAAGTGAAAAGAAAGAATTTTACAGGAAGGCAGTGATTGTTTATTTAAATAATGAGCACGGTACGGTTTGAGTTTGAGCGGTTCAACATATCGGCATGTGTTTTTACTTGGTAACACTTTATTTGAAGGGGGTTGAATAAGACTGACATGTCACCGTCATAAAAACCTGTCATGAACATGAATAAGCCTTCATGAATATTTATGACTGTTGTCAAAGCGTCATTCGGTAAATTATGACACTTTTAATACAAAGTTGACATTATTCAAAATGTCTTTGTTATGACAACTTGACATTAACCAAGAAATCATTACTGATATAAATTTGTTATAAAAGTATTATTGATTGCACTTTAAAAATTAGGTAACTTTATGTTATTAAAGGTAAAGTTTAAACAGTAATGATTTCCTGGTTAATGTCAAATTGTCATAAAGACATTTTGAATAATGTCAACTTTGTATTAAAAGTGTCATAATTTACCGAATGACACTTTATGACAACAGTCATAAATATGCATGAAGGCTTATTCATGTTCATGACATGTTATGTCATGTTTATGAAAGTGTCATGACAGTCTTATTCAACCCCCTTCAAATAAAGTGTTACCTTTCACTTTATATAACAAGTTCAACAGGTCTTTAAAAACAAAATGTACGCGCAATAAGAAGAATCTTTAGATTCAATGAGTTCTGCTGTGTGGCTTGTGTTTTATGTCATAGAAAAAAAATTAATTTGTGTTTATGTGTTGTGCTCTTAATTTTAAAAGCATAACTTAAACTTTGACTGAAAACCTGCTTGACATTAAAAAGGACACATACCACTCTGACCACACATTTCTCGTGATAAGCTGAAATACACTCCTGACAGGCATCGATATTAAATGGTTGCCTATAGAGTGATATATTTGAACTGTTTCCAGGATATGATAATGATACAGCCGTAACTTCAATGAACCACAAAAACAAGATATGGGTGCACAAGTTTGAATTTATTGTGAATTTGTTTTCATTAAAACTGAATTAAAATTAAACATATAGGCTCAGTGTATACATACAAACCCTCTTATTAGGTTAAACCTTCCCTGGGACACTGTATGCTTTTTGTAGCTATAAAAAAGAAGCTTATGGAGTAATTCTGAATATTTGATCATTTTTCCAAGTCAAAATTGGAGAGTTAACTTAAATTGCTTAATTTCCTTCCATGAACTTTAATTATCCCTGTTACAAAATACACTTTCAAGCTAGACTGGAGAACCCATTTGGAAAAGTCAATGTAAAGCTTTAAAAGAAAACTATGCCAACTGGTCGCCATGGTGGTGGCAGCATGGTTCTGTGGTTGTGTCCTGCAGCCAAATCATCAAGCAGATAGTTGAAGCTTTGTTTCGGTAAACATGTTAAGCTTCTTGAATGGCCTCGACCTCAGTCTTACTGAACGATTGTAGACTTCTGTCTGTCTAAAGAAAAGCCAACCAGCTAGAATGAACCTTTTCTGTCAGGACTGTCGATCAAATATGGAGTGAGATTACTCCAGAAGTTTGTTGATGTCTAGATACAAAGCATGTAGTGCAGGTGCAGATCATCTCCACAAAAAAGCCTTTTTGTATAACTCTATTAAACTTATTTGTATGAGTATACATATATATATTTAAAAAAAAAAAAAAAAAAACCATTTCAAATGCATCATAATAAGACCAAATTTATGACATTCATCTTCATCATGAATCTTCCAAAACGAATCACCCGAATTATAGCTTCTGAGCGTGCTCAACAAGGTGTACTGCTGCACCATAAAGACATTTAATGTGCATAGTACGAGTCTTAAAAACCAACATACATTTCAGAGAAACATGCAGGTACGAATACAAAAAAAGTCCTTCCCTTTTCTTATACATTCAACACGACGGAAGTGCTGAACTAAAACGTGTGGAAGCATTAAATGTTAGTATCAACACTGTCAATAATCTATGTTAACTAGACACACATTCAGTCGTTTTATCTACAACACTAAATGTTTGGGGGAAAAAATTAAATAAGGAATGGACGAAAAGGTAAAAAAATAAAATAAAATTGGGAAAATAAGAAGGAGGACATTTGTAACTGATATCAGAAATTAAATTCTGCTTCTTTCCAGAATGACTGATGTTTCTGACCAAACACGTCAAAAGATATGACATGCATAGATCTGTAAAAAGTCTGAATATTGGCACTGTGCTTCCATCCTAACTTTATGGCAGCAGCCAGCTTTTATAGGTCAACTATAAGAACAAGAAATTGTTTGTAATTTACTTTGCAAACCTGTGCATTTATTTAAATGCTCTCTGTCTTTAAATAACATATATCCAGTCAGACAAAACAAACTAACTAAAACAAAACTAGGTTTCCTTTTTTGATTTGAGGTTGTGTTGTCATCAAGTAAATCCTAAAACAGAATGCTGCAGGAACGTGTAAAGCCCTGCCTGTATAGCACAATAAAATACTTTGATTAAAATATTTAAGGAAACAACAACTTTTCACCAACACTTTCTGCTGTTCTCACATGCAGACTTTAATATTCAGCTTACTGCAGCTCTTTAAAATTGAGTGTAAACACCTAAAATAAAAACTCTTCACTTAAGATGTCTGAAAGTACAAGTTTTAGCATATATAAAGGTCCTTTTTCCCCCCATGCCATCCAAATCCAGTGACGACAGATGTGAACGTTCACACAGCACTACATTAACCATTTTAAATCATTTATAAAGCTTTCTATTAATTGCAGTACACGTCAAACTTAAAAGTGTGGGAATTAAGATAAATATCTTGTAAAAAATAAATGCATGCATTCAATGAAGTAAACATGTTTTAGCTTCCCTTTTTCCTTATTTGGTAAACTGTACAGTCTGTTAAATATGTAACAAAACTGGGCACTGCCACTCTGCCATACTCTGAACTTAGACAATCTTTGTCAGGAGGCATTCTCTGCCAAAGAGAAGGCCGGTTGTGATGGTGAACTCACATCCAAACATCCCCTCTTTTTTTTTTTTTTTTCCCCCTCTCAGCGCAGTACACCTGAAGATCTTATCAAGTAAAAACAAGTGGGGGATCTAGGAATTAGACTACGTTAAAAACCTGAAACTGGACCATTGAAGCCTGAGACGAGGCATGCTGAGACTATAAACGCATGCAAGAGAGTAGGAGGAGGAGGAGAAGTGTAAGTTGAGGAAAAGGATGTGACATTTCAAGGTTCACATACGACAGTCACAAGCCCCCACCACCCCAAAGGTAAGCTGTACAAGAAGAGAAACGATAACCGTCGTCACAAAATCCTCGCCAAAGTCCTTAAGATCATAAGTTCGTCCCTAATTTTAAAATTCTTCACATCCAACGTAAAAAGTTAAAGTCTGTAAGCGTTGACGGCCGGTTGCAAAGAGTAAAGGGGTTGTCGTGTTGTGCAGTTACAGGCAGGAAGATATCAGTGTGCATATAAAGCCGTTTCCATCAGGAAAGAGCCTTGTCTTCTCCTACGTAGGGCAGGTCCATGCTTCTCACTCCGTCTGCGCTCTCTTGTTTCCTGAGAGAAAACAGCCGAGACTCAGCACCAGCGGCAGCATCGCAACGAGAAAACGCTGATCTCACACAACTGGAACAATTTTGAAGCACCGCTCTACCGAAGTACAAAAACGAAAGCAAAAACCTTATCTGCAAGTGGTTTCAAATAGTTTTCATCAGGCATTAGAGTATTTATGATATTTGTTCTGTGATACTTTTGAAATTAGGTGATTAACTGCTTACAGGTGAGGATTTCAAACTGAGGGTTAAGCGTTGCAGTGTTTAAATGAACTGTCTTCATTTTCTTTTCCACAGGAAGAGATTCTACCGAAATGATTCCGCGTTTAGCTTCTTCTTTTTGTTTGATGACGTCATTGACAGAGCTGTTTTTGCCATTAGCATTGTTTCATCTCCTTATTTGTCTTTCCAAAGAACAACTCTTAGCCGGTTGACTCTGTTTAGCCGCGTCTCTTTCCTGGACAAAGACATTGATGGAACTGTATTTGGAATTAACCATAAGCCCCATGGAAGTACTTCTGGCCTGATGCTTGTATGTTTAAACTGTCTCTTCTTTTAAATCTCCCAGTTTGTTCAAATGAACTGGTGTGTTTTTCCACAACCTGAGCACCAACTCTATGGAGCAGCAATATGCAGAAACAAACAAGAATAAAACATTTACTTTATTTCCAAGATCCACTGACTCAACCTATTGCAATGTTTATCTATATATAGTTATTCTCTCTGACTTTTATTTGTTTTTATAGAGAAAGAAGGGAAGGAGTGTTATGTGCAAAGCCATACAAGATGTGGAATGTGAAAGTTTTTTTTTTTGTCTTTTTTACTCAAATCATATCTACAATTCTATATTTATGTAATTTACCATGAGAGACGTAAATGTTACTATCCAAAAAATAAAAGAAACAACATTACGCACAATAAATGTCTAATCAATTAAAAGTTTTATCCTGCATTCTATTCAGAGTTCTTGTGGAGGATCGCATGGAGACAGCATCCTTCATGCCATGCTATTATCTCAGTATCCCTGCTAACAGAGGCCACCATCTTCATTTAATAATACTGTAAACAAGCATTTGGCAAAACTCATCAGCTGACTGTTGATCTGATTAGAACCTGCGGTGCTGGGTAACAGCATTTAAGCGCAGGATTAATTAACACCACCTGACAATTTTAAAAGACAGACCGCGCTTTTAAGAACCGAGTCAGAAATGATGCTTCATGGATTTAGTGAAAAAGGTGGGCCCTGTCTGTGATGGGTCAAATAAAACGGCAAAATCATTCTTCATTATTACAACACGAAACACACTAAGTGAGAAAGCCCAGTTGTGAAAGAAAGTTGTGGTGAAACCGCATTGCTCAAGGACTCCCAACTGTTGTCATAGCATCATTAGGTCAGCCTGTAAACAATACACTCACGTAAATGTTTGCGCTGGAGCACACAAACCGCTGCGATCCTCCTTTCGGCTCAAGTCAAAGGGATTCCCAAAGGAGCGCTTCCTTAACATGGTTCTCACCAAAATCTGTCAAAAGTTTATGCAAAAGCTAAGATTAATATTACACAGATTAATATAAGACAGTTTTTTTTATTTAAATGTACCCAGTTTATACCTAGATCGTTGAAATCCATTTTTAAAATATAAGCTTAGCGGCGATGGCATTTCCTTAATGCCCATTAGCAGAGAAACTCACCACTGTAGCCAGGCTTGGGATGTGTTTAACAGAGTTCTCCACTTCCTCCTCAGTGACCTCAATCAGCAAACAGCAGTTGTCATCCTCAGGAGGAAGAGGCTCGGCACCGTTCTTCGTCACCCACGGATGAGCCTGGACACAACAAACAGACTAATGTTAGACATAATTTAATATATCATACAAGGATGAAGAAATAAGTAAAGAATATGACCATGTATGCACATTTCTACAGGAAACTGTTTCCAGTACCAAACAAACCTCCACATTATGACAGCATCAGTATAAATGTTGCACCACTGATCTTTGTATTGTTTGTCAAAGCAGAAATACATACAATTCTAACCGCGCTTCTATATATGGAGTGATGATGTAATCTGGAACTGAAACTTGCTCAAAAACCCGTCATTAAAACCGTAGACTCCTTTTATCTACTGAAATTAAAATCCCCTTCGTCATAAAAAGATATTTACTCCTGAAGATGCATGTTGTTTCACATAAAATCAATTTTATGTTTGGGGAAAAAAAATTTCATTTTTGTTATATATTCGTACCAAAATGAAGCAGGGTCATTATATCCATTTACAAAACAATCCCAACTTGGGGGTAACTAACGTAGCCTGTTCTCAAATTAGGAAACTATAGAAAGTGTTCACCTTTATCTGTGCCACTGATATTCTGGCCTCTGGCTTCTTGTCCAACATTTTCAACAGCAAATCTTTGAGGCCATCCGATATGTTTGCACTGTTGGCACAAGAAAACGAGTAATGCAAAGCGTCGGAACAAACAGCAGCAAGTGAGTGGAAAAACAACAGCACACAGTTTTTGAGATACCTACAGCACAAATTAAAACATACCATTCTGGTATCACCACAGGTTGGGTTTTGATTTTTTGATGTAGACTAAGAATGCGCTCATCCATAAAAGGACACTGTGGAGACAATTAATATGCATAATTTATTTATTTTTTTTTTGTTTGTTTTAATGGAACACCACCGTTTGGGACAACTTTTAAGGAGACAAGCAGCCTCTACTCTTTGTTGCAGTGGACACACTCACCACTCCAAAGACGAAGCAGTAAAGCGTTACTCCCATAGCCCAGACATCCAATGCCTTTAAAAAGAAAAATAAGAAATACCTTAAAGCCATGTCAGCCAATAAACAGAAAAAAAAAATAAAAAATCTGAAACACCATCAGTATTGTATTGCATTACTGACAACAGTCTCCAGGTGGCACTAGTTAGCCACAAACACTGCCTCACCTTCCCAGAGAAATTTTTTCTGGTCTCAGAAAGTGTTTCGGGAGCGAGGAAAGCAGGTGTTCCCACTGTGCTGGTGAGCAGGGCATCGGCACCTTCAAACTGGTTGCTAACTCCAAAGTCTGCAATCTTGATGTGGCCATCTTCTCCCACCAACAGGTTGGAGGGTTTGATGTCTCTATGGATGATTCTCTGATAATGCACTGTTAAAACCGTGAGGTGGTAAGACAAGTCAAATGATGAGAACATAAGTCTGGAAATGCTAAAGAATCTCCAGGTAAACATCATTGTTCAAAAGGATAACAGCCATAATTTAGGCTGATCACGTAAAGAAAGAATATGGAGGTGGTTGAATTTCAACTAAACACATACTGAGAAAAGCATTTTTTTTTTATGTGATTGTTATAAGTTTTTTTTTTTTTTTTTTGAGTCTGAGACTTAAAGCCCTCCCTCTCCTTTCATCCCAGTAATAGTCTCCTAGACAACCCTTGTGTAAAAGCTTTTCTCTTGAGCTGAAATGCATTTGCAGCCAGGAAAATTATGTGAAATGATCCTCGTGGGTGGCTGGAGTCAAGAGCGGCTCACATGGAGAACTTTGTAAAGCGAGGGTAGCATTGTGAAAACAAATCTCAATGATACAGTGAGAGCATTTTAATGTCTAACCTAGACAAGAATGATTATTCACAACACCTTTTATTTCACCTAAAAATAAAAGCCATATCAGTATAGCAGGTATAATCTATCACAGGTTCATTTTGAAGCAAAAGTGATTCATATTGATTAAATAATTGCTTCCATTAGATGGAAAATGAATGTAGAAGCCTGAGGGACTCACAGTACTCGATTCCTCTCAGCAGATCCCTGAAGTAAAAGCGGGCCTGTTCCTCGCTGAAGGGTTTATCAGTTGGCACCTCCATCACAGCCCTGAAAACACACACACACACACACACTCACCATTAGCAACTGGAAGTAATGAGATTGAGAGTCCATTTCAGTCGTATAATCATTGCCGTAATAGAAGCGTGTCTCACCCTTGCTTCACCAGCTCAAACACTGTGACAAATAACAAGGAAAAAAAAGATTACATTTGTCAGGAGACATGTTCTAAAAATGCAGTTTTATTACAAATGTTATCAAAATAACAAAAAGTAGTATTTCCATATGCTTTATTAGAATAAAAAAAAAACCATCTGTGTTCTGTCTGTTTGCAGTCTGGACAGTGACAGTTTGGCCAGAACATACCCATGTACAGATGGTCCTCGCTGGGGTCATCCAAAACCTGCCATTGCAGCACGAGGGAACAAGAAATGAATGTCAATCCAAACACACACTTAAAACACACCAAACCTCATCTTTGCATTCACAGGCACTGGCAGCAGGGGATCGATTTGTGGCCTTTTCCTGAGTTGAACATGTCAATGATTTTATTTGTTTTATTTTATTTTTCATTTCTCTGGATTAGGTCATTTTCAAAACAGGTGTTTGGATTGCTTTTGTACCTCTATGAATTGACTCATCATTCCAGAATTACTTTTGTTTATTTACCCATATTACCTATCTCTGATGTTAATATTAGTTTGACGATCTGTAAGACTGAATTTTGACAATAAAATCAGCACTGTATAAAAGTAAACTGCAGTTTACATACCTCTACTAGTTTAACTACATTAGGATGGTCGAGTTTTTTTAGAATGGCTATTTCTTGATAAACTCGTTCCAGTGGCCCTTTATGCTGAGCTGGACCCTCGGGGACTGCTCTGGTTCCACGAGGAGGTGGTCTCCCTGATGGAGATTGGTGAGTAGCAAGAGGTTAGACAAAAGACAAAAAAAGTAAAGTGGCCTTTATCAGTTATCTACTGCAGCATTAAAGACCCTGCTTCTGACTTACGTGGAAACCCTGCTTGCCTCAGGAGCCTCTTCTTGGACAGAAGCTTCATCGCCTACACAACACAGAGAAACCGGTTTAGATTCGGTGGAGAATAAGGAGGACAGGAGGCGGGAGAGCCCAGTGGGCAGCGATCCAGGAAAAAGATGAGCAAAGGGGCAGATGGGGAAAAAAAAAAAAAAGGAGCTGGATACCACATAATCAGATGCTGCTATACTGACAGCGCACCCACTCATACACCTACTGTACAGACGACAGTGGCAGCATCTACAGTTAAAAAAAACAACAAAAAAAAAAACATCTCTCTTACCTTGAAAATCCTTTGTCTGGTAACTAATGCTTCTCAGTAACTAAAATAATCACTTTTACAGACTCAAAAGTGATTTTTAGAAAGCACAGCATGCCTAAAGATTTCCATATAGAGAGCATTGGAATCATATTCATGAATTTTCTCACCAGGGGTAGAGAGAGCATCCTAAACGGAAACCTGACAGAGGCTGCAAAAGAGCTGGGACTGGTGCAGAGATGGAGCTTCTAGCAGGACTGTGATGAAATCTGGGGCTAAATAATATTTGGAAAACATGCAGTTGCAATACTTTTGTTCAATACTGCAACGATTGCTGCAATTAACACAAACTTTACTTAATCTACTCGGGGGTTGTGCCACTTAAGACCAAAATCTGTACCAATTGGAGTGATCAAGAAGAAAGAGAGCTCATCCAGATGTGAATTAGCACATCCGCATTTGATTAACCAGCAGGGATTGTTAAGATTCAAGCAGGTCCAGAGCTACAATGACTCAGAGTCCATACCTAAAGACTTGAAAAATCAATGTTCTCAGACACTACTCATCCAATCTCACGAAGAGAGCAAAGCTAGTAGAGACACAACAAACGACCTACAGCTGTAACTGCAGTGAAAGATGGTTACATAAAGCATTGACTAAGGAGGGCTTCATACAAATCCATGCCACACTCACCAGATTAAATAACATGCATCCTTTAGTTTGCACTTCACAATTATGGAAAACAGGAATGGAGCAGGATGTCTGCAGGTTTCAGCAAGTCAAATTTAAGACTTTTTAATGCCACCTTGCGTAAAAGTTAAGACCAAAAAAACCTATAAAGAGAACGGTTGGGGCCTCCTGCAAGCATTGCAAACAAGCATTGCAAAAAAAAAAAAAAAAAAACAGAAGGGGCAGACTTAAAAGTTGTTTTTGCACAGAATGCACCCAGCCTCTCAACAGAAGTGAGCTAGTGGCAAAAACAAACGCCGTCCAGCCAATCGGCAATAAACTGGCCAATTACCTATGATGGATGCAAAAAAACCTATCTAGGTAGGAAGGGCATATTAGTCCTCATTCTCCTTGAGTCACAATCTAAAGATGTCTACATGAGGTTCAAACTTTTGTCAGAACAGTCCCGTGAAAAGAAAAACTGCATACACAAGATTAAATATTACTGCCATAACAAAATATAAGACCTGTGACAAACATATTTAAGGCCAAAAAAAAATGTTAATATAAATTTAAGATTTTTAAGGCCTTCATTTTAAGTACATGAATGCAGGACCAAGACTTCTGTTGTTATATCACATGAAACCCTCGTATAAAATATTTACAGATTGTTAAAGTCTGAAAAAGCTCAAAGGGGATGAATACTTCCAGACTGGCCTTATTCAGACCCAACTAATCTGCCAATCCACTAAGCTATTTTAACAATGATATAATCACCAATTGTGACATGTGTGCTTTGTCACTTGGGAGAAATTAGTAAAACAACCCCCATGACATTTTCAGTCGCTGTCATTGAGCCATTGTTATGAAGAGTAAATGACATTCTGAACTTTCTCACAGATGTAGCTTATTCATAAAAATAACAGGCATATTGTTATTGTGCAATTAGGATGTGGGAGTGGGGTTCACAATACTCACATAGTATGTGTTGTCATCCTCATTGTAAGCAAGCTTGACAACACCATAAGAGCCCTGCGGAAGAGAGAAAAAAAAAAAGAAACGTTTCATACTAAATAAACAACATTAATATGTAGAAAACACACAAGCATCAACACACGAGCTGAAGTGAGTGGGCCCACGCTGAAAGAGTACCAGCTGCTTCAAAGTGAGAACAGAGAAATTCAAATCCTCTCTCTCCATCGCTCTTTCATTTTTGATTTCAGGCTAATTAAGGAAACTGGATCTGGTTTGTGCCATCACACCGCGCCCCTCCCCCGCCCTCAAAACTCCTCAACGCAGGAAACTCTGTGTAGAAAGTGGGCCCAATTAGAGCCCTGTGCAGACAAATTCATACACAACAAAACAAACACACAGAGAGAGGGCAGACTCAGTTCCTGCTGGGGGAGCAGATTGTAGCACGGAGAGGAAGCAAATAGCTCATCCCACAGTCCAAAGTGACAATTCCACAACAGAGGAGCCTCTCCAACGATCCTAAATGGCTTCAATCTACAGACGTTGCATCTATTTGTTAAAATTCATAGATACTATCAATCTGCTCAACAATACTAACAATCTAAACCATTTACACACACACACACGCCGACTCCCTCGCACCAACCCCTATCCACTAAGCCTTGCACAATCCTTAGAGAACACTATTTATACCAGCCTCTCATCCATCTTCCAACTCTCTCATGGCCGGGTGGTTTACACGGAGTTTGGAAAATGAGGACAGCCAGGAGAGAGCATATCAGAGGCTGTTACCGCACGTCCTCGGTGATGTGCGTTTACTTGACAGACACGCAGTAGGCGGAGAGGAGAAGGGAAATGGAAGAGTCGGTGAAAGAGAGCAATCAGTGAGTGAGAGGTCTCGGATGGTACCTTTCCAATCTCATCCTTCAGTTTGTACTGGTTGAGCTGAACGCAGTCCTGGAGGAGGGGTCAGGGAGGGAAAAAAAGGAAGAAAAAGGAATATTTGTGATTCTCTTCAGAGTGCAAAAAGCAAATATACCCAATCACTTTTTTTTTCTTTATATCAAGAAAACGTAAGTCGTTCGGGCAAAATGCCCCACTCACATTTAGGTATTGTATTATAAAAAGACTTATATGGATATATGTGTTTCTTTTCAACAAATACAAAAAAAAACTCTAATCAGAGTATTAAAACATATATTTTAATGCAAGGGCGTAGGTTCGGTCTAAGTTTTGGTGGGGACCTTGGTGGGGACCTTGACAACCCCCCCCCGCCCTCCTCGACAGCACCGTTCCGACACGGTCTCGGAGGCTCAGAATAAATGTCAAACTAAGAAGCTTCCGTTCCGCGCACCGCCTGTTGCTGCTAATCAAAGATCGTAGATCCACGTTCTTTGAGCCAATATGGCAAAAATTGGTCGGGACTTTTTCATATCCCGTGAATATTGGTCGGGACATGTCCCTACCGTCCCTACCCAAACCTACGCCCATGTTTTAATGTTCATTTGAAGGCTTTGTAACGTAAGTAACAGTCATGTAAATCCTTCACAAATATGACTTTTGATACAACAAAATCTGATCCTACTGTATCAAGAACCTTTGCAGGATGTAGAACAGAACAAAACACTACCCACGTCAAGTTCTACCACAGCTACCGGCTGCTTTCACTGAGTCTATAAAATCGTACCTGTGCCTCCACAGCTTGATCTCAACCAGTGCTGCTGCTTTCAACAAGAAATGTGCATGTAATTCTAAATACTTAGAGTTCATTTTAATTTTATGGTACACTAGCAGGTGCACCTCAGAGAGCTACTCTGCGTCAGCATTAGTTTGCCTATCCATGTGTAATGCTAGCCTCTGCAGAGAAAACAGATCCTATATTCATATTTACTATTGTGGTGCTTACCACCTCAAATTTACTGATTTTCATTGAATTCTTCATCACCTGTTTAGTGAGGAACTATTAAACAAATAGGATGAGGGTATTCACCTGGATAAATATTATCTTAATCTGCTGAGTAAACTGTGAATCTGGAAATATTTTAGTATCACAGTTCAAAAACAATCTGAGACTGGATCCATCAACCATCCATCCAAGTGATCATCCATCCGTCCGTCCATCCATCCATTGGTTAATCAGTCCATTTGACCATCCATCCTCTGCTTTTACAGGTTTTATTTTCAATGCCGGCCTACAGAATTACCTCTGGTAAATCCATAGTGAACCTATATTTAGATTTGGAACTGGGAGCTCTGGTATCTAATCTAAGTATATAAACCTTGTAGTATAATTTCAGTATGATTGTACTGAATTTGGATGAATTTTGAATAAATAAATCAATGATAAACTAATAATTAAGATGGTTTGAAAACTGAACTGAAGTCAGTCTGAACAGGGTATCTTACCTGGAGATCTATGATGGAAACGCTGTGGGACTCCACAGTGGGCCGGCGGGGCAGGCGAGGGGAGGAGTGGGGCGATGTGATGGGAGAGTAAGGTAACGACGGGTAAATATAGCGCCCGTTAAGTCCAGGGGAACTGCAGGGCGAGGTGGCCGTGTGTGAGCGTTCTTGGAGAGAAAGTTTCCGGTCAGACAAACTCAATCTGCCCCGTTGCTCTTGGCTTTCAGGCAGCAGAACCTCGGGCCGACCAACTGCATGGGACAGCAGGTCGCAGGATGGAGTCCGGAAAGGTGCTCCTGCTGAGGAAGCTGGCTCCGGTGTCTCAGAGCTGTCCATTTCTTCCACCTAACATGACATGTTGGTTTTTATTTATCATTTTTGAGAAAAAAAAATGTATACGCCTTATTGTTTGAGAAACACATGAATCAGTATGTTCTGGCTCACCTCTTCCTCTCCGGGTGGTTGACTTGGTTCATACTCCGTGACCACAATGAGGGACTCCATGGGGTCTGGGGACGGTGTCTGAGAGTGCGCGTTTAAAGGTGGGGCGGGGCAGCTGCGCAGCAGATCAGGGAGAGGTTGCTGCACTGACGGTGCATGACTGCCGCAGGACGCCGGAGACTCACCAGAGGGCCAAGGAGTTACATGACAAGGAAACATGGCGCCTCTTCACAAAACTAGACAACTCCTCCATCAGACTGCATCCTCTAGGATGCACAAAATAAAAGGATGTTACTCTTGTTGTTAGAGGATTTATACAGATTCCTACCTCCCTAAGATAATGTATTCTGTTTTTGATTTTTGTGATCAATGAAGAGTATCTTAAATATTTTATATCAAACAACCAGAGTAAACAAACACACACACACACACAAAAAAAAAACTGTTTTTAAATGATGATTCCATATATTGAGAGAAAAACCTATCCAAACCAACCTCGTCCTGCTTTACTGAGAAACACGGTCATTTACATAAAAAAAAAAAAAAAAAAACACAATCTATGCTGACTGACATGACAGAAGTGGAACTTTTTGGAAAGCTTGCTACATCTGGTGTAAAATTATCCCAATATTTCAGAAAGAACATCATAGCAACAATCATTGTGATGGCCTGAGGCCGCCAGGCTGTTCAGTCATACTTAAAAACCCTCCAGTGAAGCTGAATTAAAACAATTCTTTGGAAAAAAAAAAAAAAAAGTGGACTAAGCATTTCTTGATGGCTCTTGTTGCTGCCAAAAGCGCCAAACCACTGATCACCTAATGTGGATTTGACAAACTTTTCTCCTTCATTAAACGAAATCATTGTAAAATGTGGATTTTGTATTTGTTTTCTGGTTTGCGATCATAAGACCAGAAAAATGAAAAATTATAGTGGTTTCAAAGCTTTTTGCTTTGAAAGTAAGTTCAAAGCAGCATGATTCAAAGATGATATTACGATATTATATTGTAGATTTCTTGGAAGTTGAAACTGTAGCATATGTATTACACTGAGCACATCATGTTTATCATTTACTTGTCTCCTGTTATACAAACATTTCAGGGTTTTCACTAGAATTCCTAGAAATGCCTAAAAGCTGTTATCTACATCCTCTACTCTAAAAGGCAATTTTATGCCACATCATTTTGAATTAAGTGTCGACACTCAGAAAAATAATTTGTGCTCGACTGACTTACTGTCTGTTGCTTTTTGGTTTTAGGGCTGTTGTTTTTTCCCACATAAGCTGACAACTCACTTTTTTCTAATTTTGAAGCTTCCGCCATCAGTCACATTAGCTGGGATACAAAATGTTCATCTTAAACTGTGTTTATACTATTTAGTGTATTATATTCCAAGGGAAGTATAAAATCTCCAAAACGCACTGCAAGTGGAGTAGGGTTTTTTGTGTGTGTGTGTATAAAATTATGTTTCTGCAATAAAATCCTGATTTATTAGAAGGCATTTACACTTCTTTCACAGAGGTGTCAAGAAGGATGGAGGCGTTATTACTTAAAAGCAAAAGAAATTTTGGCAAACTTAAAATGGTCCACTTTTTTCTGCTAACACGGATAGAGTTGACAGTTAAATTATCAGTCTTGCATTTTGCCATTATTTGCAATCTGGAAAAAGTTATAAAGAATGAAAGAATGGTTTTCAACCATTTCCAGACTCCTCTGACTGATTCAACATTTTGCTTCTAGTTTGATACCTAATGGCATATTGATTTTTGTTAGGTTAGGTTTACAAAAACAAATAAATATTCCTTGCAAGACTGAGGGCTGCACATTCTATCACATACTGTTATTGCAATATAATTGTGACCAATAGGCACGTAGTGAAGAGGGGCCTAGACCAGTGTCTCAGTCCTGCCACTGACCTTTAGTTAGGCGTTTCTCCGTCAAGTCCTATAGTTTTTATAAAATTCAACCCATATTATCGTTTCTTGCATGTTTTTTTCTAATATCATGGAGTGAAAAGTAAGAATTTCCCCCATCTGAAGCATGACTCCTTTGCTTTCAGTCTCTTGTGAACTTCTCATTTTTGAAGTGTGACCAACCAGACAAAGCAACTGGAAAGTGGAAGACAAACTCAGAAGTAAGAGGTACAAAATGAATGGGCTCTTTGCACCTCAGCTTCCGCGTTCGGGGTAAAGCGGCTCGATTGTTTCCGATCCAATACA